AAATGCTGCTAAGGTAGGTGGGAGCGACCAAGAAGAATTAGAATGGGACAGCTACGACAAGATCAAAAGAGAGATAGCTCTCGAACGACTTCAGTTGGCTGCAGAAAAGGCCAAGGCAAAAGAAATCACACGCATACGAGCTGAGAGAGCAGCACAGAGAAAGATGGAAAGGATGCAGAGACTTGCTCAAAGGAGAAAAGAACGAGAAGAAAAGCAAAAAGTTGAAGGAAAAACGAAGAGACCAAGAAAACGGTCAAAGCAAGAGAAAGAAGAGTTAGCTGTTGCTGAAGAATTGAAACTCAAGGCGAAATTAGTGAAGGTCAGAACTCAACAAAACTTTGCTTGAACACTGAGTAAAATATGCATGGGTTGTATTTGGTGTACTCTCACCTAGATGATCCCATAGATCAATTTCTATTGCTTTGGCCATACCAAGAAATTGCTGTGGCTGCTAAAATGAAGTCACATATTATAGTCTCTCCAACATCAAAATTTCAACTTTTTGCTCAATTCCCTCTGGAAAAAGGAAACACAACTGCTGTACAAGTTAGCGCCGAACTAGAAAATATTCCAAAATGAATTCCAGATGTGAATGCGGCTAAAAAGTTGTCATTTTGGTGCATTATTTGTGTTTTATAAGTGATGCCATATCCTGTATGTTCACAATTCTTCTGTGATTAAAAAGTTGTCATCTTCGTGCCTTTTTTTTTTTTTTTAATAACTGATGTGATATCCCATGTGCTCACAGATTCAGAAGAAAAAGTCCACACTTAGCCATGTTTGTAGAGAACATCGTCGAGCTTGGGAAAAACTCGATGTATCATTCATAAAGACACCTCAAGTACAAAAAACAGTTTCACTTGCAGATCAGATTCGTGCTGCCAAGAAGAGAACAGGGGATGTGAATGGAAAAGCCTTTAGTATTGCATCCTCCGACTCTCAATCTATTGAAGTATCTGCAGTGGCTAAATTCTCCACAGTGGAAACAAAATAACAAAGAAGTATTTTCTCCAATCATTAGCTACTTGCATTGGCATATGAAAATGTCTGGACAACTTTGCCTCCGTCTTCTTTGAGAGCTTTGTGTCCTTGGCCATTCTGGGGATCTGAAGCTCGATGCAATGGCTATCACTCATATGATGGAGAGGACACATGTTAGAATTTTCAATTTCAGGAATACCATAAGCTACCTGTAGAAAAAGAAATGGGAAAAGGAAAATCGGCTTGTGATATTATGCAAAAAATTGGATTGCCAACCATCTGTCCCTAGTCGCATTTGCTGATGAATTAATTCAAGTTGAAACTAGTTCATTTTCAGTGTTACATTCAGCAGTTTTTTTCGTTGTTTATCAACCTGCCCATATGAAAAATATTGTTGCTCGATGATGCCAACAGAGGGAAGATTGACTTGTATTTGACATGAGAATATGCGACATCATGATCATTGATGAAGAAAGAACCTGGTTTTCTAAACTACTTACCCTGGAACAATTGCTGAAAGAATCAAATATTTATTCTAACTCGCAGATTTGCCAGCATTAGTTGTGCCTTCCTAAGAAATGATAGTCTATTGCAATCTAACATCATTTGAAGTGGTTCCAGAAATTGTTTGCCTAGTTAGTAATTGAAAATATAATTTTCCTACTCCACTTTCGAAAATATAATGTGTAGCACTAGTTCTGCAAACTTTAGACCCATCTTGAACCCAACCAACTTCTGCTCAAACAACCCAATTTGCCATCCCTACCAACTATAGAGGGTGACACTTTCACTGCATGAATTTATTGCAATTCAAGCTAAAGTATAGATGCCCTTGCAGGCTAAAAAAATAATCCTATAAGGAATCCAAAAAACTTATAATATGATGATGACACTGAAAAAAATAAGAGGAAATTCCAATAATTTTTGGCACTGCATAACTCAATATGTAATATTCGTACTTCCAACTATTATGAGGACAACGTGCTTTCAGAACACCATAAGACATCACTTCGTGAAGATAAACCATCTAGCATTGACAACTTAACACGTATCTACAGCTGCTCATCGGTAATTAGGATTGGACATATCTCTTCCAGGCATGTTTGGATTCTGATAGGAGTTCCCATCAGATGTATTAGGAGCATAGCTCTGGTTTGGCCCTGGACCTGTTTGGTAAGGCGTGCCTCCATTGTTCGGTCCACCGCCATTGTATTGGAAACTAGGTGCGTTGTTTGGCACTCCGTAGTTATTGGGAGGCACTCCACCCATGTTTGGTGGCACACCTCCTATGTTGGGTGGCATATTCGGCTGCTGCATCCCACCTCCACGGGGTGGTGGCCCTCCCATGCTAGGCTGCTGCATACCGCCTGCATGAGGTGGTGGCCCTCCATAGCCTTGCTGCTGCATGGGTGGTCCTCTCATGTCCGGCTGTTGCATCCCGCCTGCATGAGGTGGTGGCCCTCCATAGCCTTGCTGCTGGTGCATCCCGCCTGTATGGGATGGCCCTCCCATGCCTTGCTGCTGCTGCATGCCGCCCATGTTGGGAGGCCCCCCTGCTGCCATGTTGGATCCAGGGTTCTGACTGGGTTGATTCTGCATCTCTCTTCTTCTCTCAAAGTTTCTGGATCTATCAAAATTACGAGGTCGGTCATTGCGTCTGTTTCTCTCATTAGCACGAGCATTGTTTCTCACCCATTCCTCGTGGTATTTCGGGTCATATGGTACAGCCTGTCCATTGATAAAAGGTTCCCCTGCAACATGCATTACAAAAAGTCATAAGATTAGCTGATGCACCACGTATTAGCTGACACGTGACTAGTTTATAATCCAAGATAAGATGGCCCAAAAATGCTAAACTAGTGCTGACACAGCAACCTGATAGGACTGCAAAACATGGAACTGCTTACCTCCATAATCTTTATTTCTAACATCGAGATAAGAATCAGGAAGCACCCAACGAACCTTAGGCAGCTCTGGACATGAATGGAACAAACAAGTGATTAGGCTTTCCACCAATTTACTCACCGTCGTGAATCACCAAAGAAAAAAAAAGGGTGGGGTATAACCACTGCATTACCTTTTAGTTTATAAGAAAGCTCTTCAGATACAAGGGCACCAAAAGCAAAGTAATGTCTAGTTGAGACGGAATAAATCTTCATCCGTGCATCCTCCTCACTGCAAGATTAACTATCAACATAAGCCACCCATAAAAATAAACTAATCCTTCTTTCAGGTATAAGCACTCGTACAGTCTTTGTGCTCCTCATCCACACAAGCTAACAACTTTGTTTTATGGCAAAAGAAGTATATATTGGTTCACACAAGGCATACATTTCCATATAGAAGTATAGGCACACCACACAGGGAAGTTCGTTTTTCCTTGAACAAACTTACACTCCCTCTGTTCATGTTTTCTAGTCCACTATACTGAAAATACATTTTCACTCATCACTTTTAGCATATCAAGATAAAAAAAACATATTTTTTCACATGTTTTACCCTTAACATTAATCATTTATTCCCCAAATCATTTATCAAGAGCTAAAACTAAACATCATATCACCAAAAGTAATAAAACAGTAAGCAATTATAATTAGGTTTTACTAAAATGGAGCTGAAACACGAGAAGAAGCTAAAAATGCAGAGAAATGAGACAAACCTCCCAACAATCGTAGCAAGTGTTTTGATGTAGCTATCAATAATTTCATCTCTGGTGGGATCACCTTCAGGCTTCTCCATCACAACAAGCCAGTGCTCAAAATCACAGCCGTCAAGCAAAATCGTTTCCTTTGGAGGTCGATTGGACCAGTTAGGATTCGGATCATTGAGTGACGACGACGTTTGGCGAGTGGCAAAACCTCGAGAAAACGTCGTCGGTGCCGGAGACACATTTCGTAGGTTGGCCGCAACGGCAGAAAGTGACCGCAGACGGTGGAGAGAGGACGTGCTCGGAGTTGTAGAGAGAGAAAGTGAGTTGCAGGAGCGTTTGAATGCATTGAGTAAAGAACGAGACGCCATTTTCGTTTCTACAAAACCCTAGTTAGCTCTGTGAGGGTTTATCGGGTTTTAATAGCAAAATGCCATGAAAATACCGCCTCTCAAAATGTTTGGTTTGGTCCCTTCAAGTTTCAAAATGTGTGAAATGCATCCTCCATCAAATCGAATCCAAATTAGAATACACATCTAAATAATAAGTTATGCAATAAACATAATATTTCAAATGCTCATTTGGATATTAACATGTTGTGTTTAATAACGAGAGAAGTACTGAAAATACCTCTGAACTTAGCGCAAATTACTATTTTCGTCCCCAAACTATTGTCAGCCATAAAAACACGCATCTGCTTGACTAACTAAACTTAGATACACCCCGATACACTTCTGATATGGCACATGAAATAACAAGTGGTCTCAAACTCTTGTAGGAGCATGAAGTTCTTAATAAAAACTGAAAGAAGTGTTGAAAAGACCCTAAACCTTATGAGAATTTAAATGTGTATTCCACTAATATTGCAAGATTTGGAGTGTATTTAGATTCAATTAGTTAAATAAAAAATTATTTTTAAGGCTGTCAATAGCTCAGGAATAAAACTAATAATTTGTATCAAGTTTAGAGATATTTTCAATACTTCTCTCTTTAACAATTTAAATACTAAATAATTAAGACAACTTGTTTTTTTTCAACATCTAAATGGATAAAATTTATATCTATTTACAAATTAATTTACGATTATATTAATCGAATACTCTTAAAAATTATTTGACTATTGGTAATGGTACTAGCTAGTTCATTGTAATCGTTTGTGTTGATTGGGAGTTAATGTTGTCTGATAAATATGACATTGCTTTTCTAATAATACTTTGTTTTTCTTGAAAAAAATACAAAGAAAGATTTAATAAATGAAGAGCAAATCAAAATTAAAGCATAAGCTAGTTATGAAAATTCCTTATTCATTACCAATTATTGAACTTTCTTGTTCATGCATGGTGAGTTACACATACAAGGAGGAGAAGCAACAATTATTATTTGATTCACCAAATCAACAAAAAGGGCAAAAAGCTAGTAATAATGTGTTTTGTCTAAAAACTTGATAACTTAAAATTCAAGTGGGAATAAACCCAACTCATCAAGAACATCCTTGCAACCAGGCAAAGACTCTTTCTTCATGAAGAACAGTGGATTCGCGTAGCGTGTTGGATTATGCATACCAACATTGTTACTGCACACAACTCTTGTGTTCTCAAAACCAATTGCAGGTTCCTTGCAATCTTCTCTTGGGCTATGGATAACACCTACATCACAAAGTTCTTTCTCATGGTCACCTGTTGCTTCTATTGTGTATTTCCCATCCTTGTCTGTCAATGCTTCTGTTGTATATGTCACTTTTTCTGTCTCCATGTCTCTGCATGTCAACTGCACTTTTGCACCTATATATATCATACAAATGTATATATAGTCAGACTTCTCTATAACAACATTAGTCAGTCTAGTGAGGCAGCATAGTAAGTAAGTGTCATGGTGTGATGACCCATCTAGGTGCCTTCCCTTCTATATTCCATAGTATATACACATATGTTTTCTTTCATATATATATACGAGTTGTTTGATAGAGTGTATAAGAATAATACTGAATATGATGTATTAGTAATGCCAGATTAGTTGTAATATTAAGATTAGTTATGTTGAGATTATTTCTTATTCATTGTTTGATTTGGTGTATTAAGAACAATTGTATCTTTAATCATGCTTATCCATGCATTAATATCTCTTGTATTACTAATACCATGTGTTTGCTATGTATTGATTGTACACCCTATAATACTGAATAGACATAAAATACATTTTATCAAACATGCATGACAGTTTTCTTATAGCAACAATCCTCCATAACAACATAACATCAATCAAGTTTTTTCTTTCTTTCTGGAACTGACTATATCATATCATGTTACTATATCTCGCTATAACAATCAAAAACTACTCAGACAAATAATAACGTTATAAAGAGATTTGACCGTATATATTTACAACATTGATGTGACAAAATTTCATACCTTCAATGTTCTCACTAATTTTGGTCTGAAATTGCACACGGCAAGTGTCACAATAGACAGTGCCTTCAACTTTGAAGACTTCATGGGATTGAGCAAAGTTGGCAAAGGCCAATATGCTGCAGAGTGCAGAAAGGACCAAGATAGCCTTTGCCATTTTTTCTTTGTAATTTTTTTTTTTTTGGTTTTTCTTTCTTCTCTTGTGTGTGTCACAATTTGAATATAAATGATATATTCAACTATTTATAGGGATAATTTGTTTTAGAGGAACAATGGTAGAGAGATTGTTGTGGAGTAGTTTAAGGATGATCTTATATTTAATACAAGGTTAGGGAGTTAATTGACTTGTTCATTGTTTTATAACTAATTTTATTTGGTTGAGAGAACAAAATTATTTAAAGGGACATAATATTTTGAGGTAATTTATTTGTGAAGTAAGTTATAATTTTCATTTCAAAGTTTAGATTTTTAATTTTTTTTTTAGAACAACTAGCATTACAAAACTTCGATCACTATAATTAATTGATACAATCCGTTTCAATCTGTTTGTCTTACTTTTCTTTTTGGTCCGTTTAAAAAAAGAATGCCTTTTTCCTTTTTGACATATTTTTCATTTTCAACTTTCCACGTAACATCTTTAATATCACAAGATTAAAAAATATTTTGATACATATTTATTTTGAGACCACAAGATTCAAAAGTCTTCTTTACTTCCCTAAACTCTGTACCAAGTCAAAATATAACAAACAAATTGAAACAGAAGACTATAATACACTAATGTATTAACATTATGCCTATGCAAGTCTGAAATTACAAAGGAGACACTGGATAAAGCAAATACCAAATTTTATACCATCAATATTTCATCTAATAACACATCAAACCAAACGGATCCTTAGTGTTCAAGAGTTACTACAGTTACAATAGGGACATAAGATTCTAGTTCACTGTTTGTGCAAGTTTGCTCAATGATGGTCCCTATTCGGGACTTTGCGCCAAGAATGTAATCATGATGTTAGTCGTCAACATCTTTGACGACTAACATCTTCCATATTCCAGGTGACGACTAACCAGTATTCTGCATTCCAGCAGCAATACCTTTCATGGTTAAGATGAGTGTGTCCTCCAAGCCAGGTGCATATTCGCTAGTCGGGTTCAGGTTCACAAGTTCTGTAGCTGGTTTTGCTTCCATGTATTCCTTGGAAATGTGAGGCCTTGGTGTGACACTATAGTCTGGGTCACGAATACGCTTTAGGGTGTAGGCTTGACACACATTCAATGTTGTGATGTAGGAGTCACGCAACCTGAGTCGTTGTTTTAAGTATGGATCACCCTCCAGAAGATCCTTGTGTCCAGCAATCTATTTTTAAAAAGGGAAAGGGAAAATTATGTTTAGATGTACTAACTTGGAACCAGTTTGTGAAGCAATCGAGCACAATAAGTGTTCAACCGATCCTTTTTAGAAGTATATGTCACATTACCTGCAGGAGGAGGCTCTTTGTCTCCTCATACTTTGACCTCAAAAGTTCACCGAAAGACCACAAATCTTCGGACACCAGAAGCTTGTCGAACAATGCAGCAATGCCTGGGTCTCCTTTGGCGAACACCATCTCAACCAAATCAATAGTTACCCTAAAGAAAGGCCATGCATTGTACATTTCCTGCAGCATGCGAAGGTTTTTGATATCCTTTCCAATGGCATACTTAAATGCTGCTCCAAAGCCGAGCCAGACTGGAAGATGGAATCTAGTTTGAGTCCAAGCAAAGATCCACGGAATAGCTCTAAGTGATTCTATGCCTCCGCTGGGTTTACGCTTTGATGGACGGCTGCCAATGTTCATTCGACCATACTCTAACTCGGGTGTGGCCTGCAAACATGATCAATGAAAAATAGCTTATTACAACTCAAGGCAATATTTGTGACAGCATCTACAATTAATAACTGAGTTCATTGCTAGCATACTTACCAGGCGGAAATACTCAACAAATCGGGGTTCCTTAAAAACTATTGATCGATACTTTTCTGTAGCAACAACTGCAATTTCGTCCATAAGTGCACGCCATTCTGGTTTTGGAGAGACTGGTGGATGCATCCCATGTTCAAGTGTAGCAGCAGTAAAACGCTGGAGTGTCCTAAAACACAAGTGTTCTTCCCCAAAAGACTGCTCAATAACCTCACCCTGAACTGTAACACGGAGAGATCCGTGAATTGTTTCGGGTGGTTGAGACAATATGGCAAGATGGGCGGGGCCACCTCCTCTTCCCACTGTACCACCTCTACCGTGGAACATGGTTAGCTTCACGTCAAACTCCTTGGCGACTTGTATAAGCTCCTCTTGAGCCTTATACAACTGCCAGGCTGCTGATAGCCGACCTGCATCCTTGCCAGAGTCGGAGTATCCAATCATCACTTCTTGCTTGCCATTAATCCGGTTTCTGTACCACTCAATTGAGAAAAGACGTGCAACGGCTGCAGGAGCAGCATCCAGATCAGCCAACTTCTCAAAAAGTGGAACAACTCGTAAAGGTTGCCTCACTCGGCATTCACGCTGTAGAAGCTCTACTGCAAGCACATCAGATGGTGCAGTGGCCATTGAGATGATGTATGCCCCGAAGCAGTCTGCTGGGAGTTCGGCTATGACATGGAACGTATCCAAAACATCAGCAATTTCTTCAGTTTTTGGAAGATCAGGTCCAAATAAAGGTCTCTTGCCACTGAGTTCAGACAGAAGCCACTCTTGTCTACGTTCTTCAGACCAGTCTCGATATGAACCAATTTCCAAATGTTGCGTAATAGCATCAAGCACATCAGTATGGCGGTCCGACTCTTGTCTTATGTCAAGTCTCACAAGTGAAAGTCCAAACGTAGAAACTTGTCTCAGGAAATCCAGAAGGCTACCATCCGCGATGGAGAGATCACCACAAGCACAAAGAGATCTGTAGCAGAGCTCAAGAGGCTCCAAGAACTACATGAAATGATGACCATATTAGTGTTATATGACATGCAACACAGATATTTATATGTTTTGGTTTGGTAGAACAACCATGCAAATGCTTATGCTGTTATTCAACAAGGAATAGACACACTTACTCATGTTTTTCTAGTTCATTTTTTCGATGAATAACATGTCAAGTTGTTTAGCAAGACTAGTTAAGCTTTCAAGAGTGCAAGTGAATGTTCACTGCTTAATTTAGAAGGGTCTACATATAGAAAGCAGTCACAGGAAAAGACAGAAGTATAGTATTATGAACCTGCTCAATATTAGTATAAGTTGCTTCCTCTGGAATTTCAGAGTATCCATGGCCTAATAGTTGGCGAGCACGCTCGCGTGTCTGATACAACTTATCTCTCACATCACCAAGAATTACACGATAGGGTTCATTTGGAGGAACTTGCTTCCAAAATTCTGCATGAGAAGAAAATGTTGAAAGATCACAGATTATGCGATTTCTCTGTCCAAAGATTTTTTTGGAAGAAAGGAAAATCTTTCCAAGAGAATAGAGAGAGCCTCTAATGCAATTTCTAATCAGCATACCAGATGCTAGAATGACCTCTTTTTCTTGATCTTTAAAATCATAAATAATAACACCCTTTGCTCACCCTTTTTTTCCCCATCGGCAATGATGAAAGACACCCTTGGCTCACTTGAAAGGAGAATTTGAATCATACTTCAAACAAGCATTTAAAAGTCCTATCAAGGTTATATGCAACTAGAAAACTCTTTTTTGATTCAATTTCATGGATCAACCTCAATAGCAATATTCAATTAGTTACCTATGTAGTGTTTTTCATCTCTCCTTGAAGACCTTTGGAGATCATCTGCTCGCACACGAAGCTCTTCATTGCAGCGCCACATAGATAACTGAAAGATCGTACAATTTAGAAAAAGATCACAGTGTAGATAGTGCGATTTTTTCACTAATTGAACCAAGACAAAAGTCTCAAAAACATTTAATTGTTGGATACCTCAAACATGAGGTCCTCTATTTGCGAATAGTACAAGTTAGCTGCCATCATTCTGGCCAATAAGCAAACATCTCTTGTGACCTCAGGAGTCACTCTTGGATTACCTGTATTTGGTAGCAGAGAGTTGACAGATAAATAAGGATTATCTACTGCATGTAGTAACTAAGTAATCCACGTTCAAGCAGAAGGAGTATTTTGCTTTCCTCCACCCCTTCAAAATTATGTAATCCGAATTCCTATTTTTTTCTCAGCTTTTAGCTAAAGTAACTGCAAACATTCTCTACAGTAAAGGAATCATACCATCACGATCACCGCCCATCCAAGAGGAGAATTGAATAAGAGGAGCATTATAAGGAACTCGTTCATTAATCCCTATGTTTTTAAGAGCTGTATCAACACGGCGCAGAAACTTTGGTACACCCTTCCAAATTGTTTCATGGAAATAGCTCATTCCAGCTCTCATTTCATCTTGTGGAGTAGGAGGAGTTCTTCGGATCTCATCAGTTCGGAACGCAGCTTGGATCTACAGAGGATGTAAGTAGCAGATATTTGTCAAAAAAGAATAATGGGTGCATCATACCAATAAACCACGATCCACAGTGCGACACATATTTGAGTTCGAAGATTGCTATTATTGCTTCATATTCCAATTTTAGAGCAATCATATAACTAGCTCCACTTTTTACAGGGTAAAATACAATTCAAATGAATGAAGAGGCAAATATTAAATGGGTTACTTATGAGATAATTTTTGCTTCTCCAATCTTCATGAGAGGGATGAAAAAAGTAAGTCCATTGATCATATAAGGCCCGACAGATCAAGACATATCTATATGATATTGAAGCACCAAAATATCCATTAGTAGAGTCTGAAAGACATCAGAATTGAAGGTACTAATAATAGAATTTCATACAAGGAAAAACACATGCTTCAAGTAACTAAACGTCGATAGTTACCTCCCTCTGTAAAGCCTCATCAAGTTCTTGTTTATCATCAGGGGTAATGTCTTTAGCATACAACTGAGCCAAGCAGTCACGGATCCTGAAAATTTAGTTTGAACAATCTAGTAAACAACTGAAGAAAGCACGAAATTTGGTCCGGAAAGAGCATTTCCATTTATATTTATTAGGGAAAATGGAAGAATAAACTAGCATAAAATGACAAGCCAAGGAGACAACTCTAACTACTGAAGACAATAAACATGGTGATTAAAGACCAAACCTTCCATGCTTTTGAAGCAATGATCTTCGTACAGATTGAGTGGGATGAGCTGTTAGGACCAGATCCACAGTCTGATTCTTGATAGCATCAAAAACTTCTTGAGGGGACTTCTTCAAGTCCCCCACCAATTTCTTGAAAGTTTCTTCAATATCTGACTCAGTTGTTGCATTGCTCTCATCCCCAAAATCTCCCTTTTTCTTCAATTTTTGGCGCCTACGGTAGGCAATCTGAACCTCCTCAGCCAAATTGGCCAAGTTAAGCATGTGAGAGAAAGCTTTAGCAATAACAATTGAATCCCCTGGGTCCAAACTTGTCAACACATTGCCAAGTTCCTCCAGCTTCTTCGGATCATGCTTGGCTTCATACTCGGCAGAAAGTTCATAACAATCTTGGACCTAATGTGAGATTGAAGAAATCAAAGACTTCAATGTTCACCAGTCTTTTGCAATTACAACAACAACAACATACACAGTGTAATCCACAAGTAGGGTCTGGGGAGGGTAGAGTGTACCAAGACCTTACCCCTACCTTGAGAGGTAGAGAGACTGTTTCTGATATACCCTCAGCTTAAGGAAAATAAGATCGAAAAAGAAATAACAGAAGTGAAGAAATCTGGCAAAATACTAAAGAAAACACGACAAAACATTCTGAAAAAACAAGACTACTTGGTCAACACAAGTTTAGGATCTCAAGTCAACATACACATGGGGATTTCATCCACTAACACAGTCAGACCATACCGAAGCATATGAATACCACTATATAAATACCATCTCTAAGTATTACACACACCTCAGAATCAAGTGTTTGTAGTTCACTCAGTCAGAACAGACATAAAAATTCAATCTTTTTATTCCCCTTTTTATAAGTGACATAAAAATTCAATCTTTACCATCAAGAAATAAACCAGATTAAAAGTGGAAGACAAAAACAACACCCTTTAGTAACCAATTCAAGTGTTTGAAGTCAACTCAGTCAGAACAGACATAAAAATCCAATCTTTGTATTCCCTTCTTTTGTATAAGTGACATAAAAATTCAATCTTTAGCTTCAAGCTATAACCCAGATTAAAAGTGGAAGACAATACAATACCCCTTAGTAACCAATTCAAGTGTTTCTAGTCAACTCAGTCAGAACAGACATAAAAATCCAATCTTTTTATTCCCCTTTTTTACAAGTGACATAAAAATCCACTATTTAACTTCAAGAAATAAACCAGATTAAAAGTGGAAGACATAAACAACAACCCCTTAGTAACCAAAAGACCAAAATCACAGAACTTGATCAAAGGGTACACAACATAAAAGACTACAACTTAGGTAGATAATTTACAATTGTCTAATCATTCATAAGTTACATTAACAGCAAACATAAATTGGGAAAAATGCATACTGTTTCTTTGAGATCCTCCCCATGTAAATCTTGAAGAATATCAAGAAACCTATCCAAAAGCAAAGCATCATACTCAACAAGTTTATCATCTTCAGAAACTTTAGCAGGCACCAATTGCCTCAACTGTGCATCAATTGATGCAAGTTTCTCCAAATTCCTAGTAGTCATTTCTCACTCAACAGTCAACACTCTGCAGCAATAGACATAAACATAAAAATCATCAATTTTTTTTGTTTTTTTTTTTTGCAAATTACAGTGACCACAATATCTGATCATGACCCCAATAAAAGTACAAAAAAGGGACCACTTTTTTTTTCTCTTGTTCTGGCAATTCAAAACAAACAAAAACCCCAGTTGGCAACTCTCTACTAAGTTTTATATTCTTGTTGATTTATTTGTTAGCAAAAAAAAAAAAACCAAGAGATTGAAATTTTGAGTATGGCAAATTGGAGAACATAAATAATGTTCAGTACCTGAATTTTGGTATGTCAGAATACAAAAGAATGAGAAAAAAAAGTCTTTACTTTGGACACTCAATAAGGTATAGCTATATATAGGAAATTAAAGAGCTTTTCTCTTTCTTGAATTTACAACCATATAGTACTATATTTGCAATTTATTTTCTTGTAATTCAAATTTTATGTGATTGTTGCTGGTTTGGATGGGTGTTATTCGTTGAGTTGTATTGTACTGTATTATTATTAATTACTAATTACAAATATATAAAAATAACTAATTAATTACTTTATTCATGATTATAATTTTGCTTAAATAAATTAAATCTCAATCATTAATTTTAAACTATGACATGTATCCTCCATCTAAATAAGAACTTGGAAAAAATGAAAAAAAGAAAAATAGAGAGAAGCCAAATCAATATAATATAACAATTTACCTTGTATTTGTTATAATAGATACAAAGCAAATTGATATACTATGTCATAATATTTTAAAAGTAAATTATTGTTATGTTTTGTGACTAACCAAACTATTACTATACTTAGCCTCAAAGTTAGTTAATAAGAAAGGATTATCTAAGATCATTTCACAACGATATACGAGAATCAACACCATTGCACATGGACAAACAATATAAGATGGGAGCTAAAATTTGACAACAATTAATTGAGATGTGTCTGAATATAATATCATAATAATAAAAAAAATAGATATTAAACCTAATTTAATTTTTTTTTAAAAAGAATGTGTAAGAATCTTGCAACTGTCTAAACCATAGAGGTCTGATTTTGCCCACTACAACTAACCCCCATTACTTTCTAATATAATACTAATGACTTTATTTTTTTTATATATTTTGTTTTATTATTATATAAATAAAACAAAAATTATTTGACAAGAAGATAATATAATATATACTCTCTGTCATATGAAGTAGCAGGGTAGTTTTTTTTTCCTTCCCTCTTTCTTTTTTTGCTAGGATTTAATTGGTATTTTGTATTGTTACCATGGAATACACAAAGGAAAAAATAGGATTCACCGACGGACGATGAATTTTGAAGCTAAATAATAGATTTCATCGCTAACACTATTTAATATTAAATTATTAAAAAAATAAATTAGTTATGAAAAATTTAATGATAAATTTCATAATTAATTCTACATTTTTTTTGGTAGTGATGATAGTAATTATGATGATTTTGTGGTGGTTGTGCATGGAGAAAATTGTTTTTAGAGATAGTGTATACCCTTCTAACATATTTGTGTATATCTTTCGTTATATCTGTGTATATCATGCATATTCTTGAGAATATGTGATGAACAATGATATGTATATATATATATATATATAATATACACATGTGATATACATTATGACCTCGGGTGTCCATCCTTGGCATATGTGTCAAATCTTCCATGCTTGTTTCATTATTTCACAAGTCTAAATTATTTGAGGCACATAACATAGTATGGATCGACACGATCTCCCTTATTATGTTGGTGGTACAAAATATTACGACCTTAGAGTAATTTTTTAGTGTTTAGTAAGTAAGTAAAAAATTATTATCCTAAGAATAGTATAGCAAAATGGACTTGATATGAACTTCATTATGGACTTGATAGACCAAACAAGTAATAACAAGTAAGAAAACTGACAGCCCAATAGAACGTTAAAAGGGGGGGAGGGGCCTATCGGAGGGTTTATGCGTATCGTTAAGTAAAGTGTTTTATTCCTTTCATCTTTATTTTTAGTGAGAAAAATTACTTGGTTATTATGAATAATCAGTAAATACTAAGTAGTAATGTGGAGACCTCATCATTTACAGTAACAAATTAAAAACATTTTATGGATGACTCGAATTTCTCCATAAATATCAATATATATTAGACTTATAAGATATTATATATTTCAATGTCACTCGGTTATAATTAAAGATTATAAATATTCAAAAAGATCACAAGATACAATGTATTTGGAAAAAGGCGAACTAGTATACAAACCTTTTGATGGATGAATGGTGGTATACATATAATGCCCTTAAATTTATTATCAAACTCAAAAACAATCTGTCTAAGTACGTAGTACTTGAAAAGAATACTTTCTTTAAACTTGAAAATAAAATATAATAATAATACTCGTTATACTTAATAATTGTAGTATTCATTGTACTTGAAAATAAAATACAGTAATACTTTTGTTAAATTTTTAAGCCCGCAAATTATTATTATTATTTAACTTTTCAATGAAGCTGGATGCTAATTGACGTTTTTATACCATTGCTTTTTGAAAAGTTAAAATTACTAGGTAATTTTACCTTGATTTGACTCAAGGTAGCAAAAAAATCTATATAGTACAATCATTTTTTATTTACAGAATAAAACAAAAAGGGTGACTATGATTCGTATAAATGATGAGTGTTACCCATCCCCACCATTGAATTTTATCAAAAGAAAATTTTATGTTTATTTTGGAGTCGTAAATTAAAAATATGCTTAATATTTTAAAATATATTTTTTAATTTTCTAATCTTAAATATATTAGATAGAATATCAAAATAAAAGAGTTACCAAATTTATAATATAAACTAGCAAAACAGATAAATTGAAATGGAGAAATTATTTGTTTTGGTGAAATCACAAGAGGTTTTTTTTCTTCAATTTGTCATTTACAAATAGTACTTTTTAAGCATCTAAATCTTCTACCTTAAAAAAATAAATGGAGATACTATTCTAAGTCAACCTAATTCCCTATCAATGAAAAGATTATATTCTATATAAGTTGAAAAGCAGTAGGGCCTCTCTATAAATAGATTTTTATTATTCTTAGATATGGTGTTTCTACTTTTTTGATACTTGTCAATGCAAAATTATATGGTAGAAGAAAATAAATGGTTAAATCACTCTCTATTATATAAGTTGATTGGAAATTATTAAGTAATGCCATTTCAATAAATAAGGTGGTGGTCAATAGTTATAGTTATTTTTTTAAAGTTACATTTCTTTTTTATTTTAAAAAAAAATTAATTAAAAAAGTATTTAAGATAATAAAACCTATCAGACTGGATGTTTGTGGAAGTAGTTAACTAGATTGCAATCACAATCGCCCTCTTGGTCACCCTTCTTTGCGAAATTTTACCAAAAAGTTTATGTGCTCAAATTACCTAAATTCTTATCATTTATATTCATTTTTCATAAGGATGGTAAATCCTAAGAATTGATATGGAGATTATTGCCGTGAAGACCATCAACTACTTATTGATCAACCACTGAGAGTTGAAAGACGGTCAAATATATTGTTTAAGATTTTATAAAGGATTCTAATTAATAATACTTATTCCAATAAAATTAAATGTGGAAAACTTTATACTCCAATTGGACACTCAAAACTTCGAATAGTAAAATACAAAGGTACAACATCAAATAAACTATGAATCGAATTTGACTCTAATATCATAATAAATTTAGTAGCAGTAAATGATGAAACATATATAGCTTTGTAGTTTATTATACTTTGAATTAGTTTTATAAATTAAATATGTAGGGGTCTGCCTAACCTTTACATTTCGACCAAACGACTTGGCTTTTCTAAAAGAAAAAAAAAGCAATGGTCACGGACTCATGGTTATGTTAATCTTGTGAGAGTGCTATTTAATTTACTCCGTTCCTAAATACTTGTCATAATTTTTTTCAGACTTCTTTAAAAAGTATTAAGTGGAGGATAATTTGACTAGAATATTTTATTTATTACGTTTATTAATTTAATACTTCTTTCTTTTACTAAAAGAGAGAAATAAAAAGGAATGGTCACGGACTCATGGTTATGTTAATCTTGTGAGAATGATACAATAGATAGCTAGAACTAGAAAAAGTAAAAAAAGAGGACTCTAAGAAACATTTGTATATAGGACAATTGGGTGCAATAATGCTAAGATTAAATGGAGTAAATATATATATAATACTATGGAGATGAAAGTAGAGGCAGAGTCAAGATTAGGAGTTTAGAAGTTCTAATTTTTTATTTTTTTTTAAGAAAAGAGAAATGTTTTGTAGATAGTGGGATTCAAACCCACAACTCTAGCGTGGAAAACATTTCCACAACCCCTTCTTTACCACTAAGCTGTTAATTAATAGGATCTACGAAAAAATTACTATGTACCAAACACATATATTTTAACAGGATAAGATAATGATCTGTGCAAGAAGATGTTCTACAAGCAATCAAGGAAGTTATTCCCGTTGAATTAGCAAAGCTGTTTAGGAAGGATAATTAACGATAATTAGACCACAAAACACACATTAAGCTAAAGGTTGTTTGGTACGAAGGAAAATATTTTTTATAGTTGGTTAAAATATTTTGGAAAATAATTTTTCTAGGAAAAATAATTCCTTAGAAATGAGAAATGAATAAGAATTGAACCCTTATCAATAAGGTAAAATTAATTGTAGGTACCCAACAAACTGAACTATATTAAGATTTTCCAACTTCCCTAAAGGAAATAGAAAAAATAAGTTCCGAAAGTTAATATATATTCCATATTCATTATCTCCTTCCTATTTATCCAATACCTCCAACCCTCACTCGGCCCCTTGGTCATCCCACCCCCGAACCCCCACTTCTCACCCCATATCTCATGTGGCATATTATACTACATGATATAGTGACAAAATCAAAAATTTCGTTGCTAGAATCAAACATATGAAACGGATTACCATTGAAAAATGGCATTTACATGGCCCTAGAAGAAGAAAGCAGTAAAATATCTAGGAGAGATCGATTTTATAGGTCATTTATAATTATTTTTAATTTTATATTCTTTCTATAAGTGGTTTTCATTTTTACATATGAATAATCTGAAAAAAAAATTCATTTTTCTTTCTATTTTTATTTTATAAGCAAGAGATCTGAAGTCCTCAAAATTTATCATATAAATACATCAAAAGACAGATTATTATTTTTTAATTAGATACTACTTATTATGCATGTTTTTATATAACCATTAATCACAGTAATTATACTTAATGGAACCCATGGTAGGCACAAAATCGTGCAGAATCTCAAAAGAGATAGAGATTAGACAAAAGCAAGCAAAGATTACATTTTAATCTTAGCTACAAGATCCCTATAAAGAAAGAAAACAAAAAAATACACCATTTGCTCCACTTTGTTCAACACTATTTCCTTATTAATTACTACTGTTCAAAAAGAATGATGCATTTAATTTTATATTTCTTTAAATGACAAGTTTTTTTTTTAAATCACACAAATTTTATGGTATATTTAAGATTAGAAGTTTCAAAAAATGTATAACCACACAACATTAGATATATTTATGATTATAAGTTTAAGTTTTTATTTTTAAAAGTAAAAAAATAAATTTTATGTCAAATCAAACAGACCGAATAACTGTTTGGAGAGTTGATAGAGAGAAGAAAGAGAGAATTATGATTAACCATAGTAGATAGTTATGAATGTTTTAAAATTAAAAATCCATTTTTTCACGCAGAACTTGGAAGAAGTTTAGGGTTTTGAATTTAGAATTCAGATTCAATAGATTCGATGTTATGAATTATGTCAAACCTGTTGTGTTTAGTCTAAATCCAAGCTCATAACCCCAAGCTCATTAATCATGAATATCATTCATGCTTCTAGGGATTTCCTCATCCAAAATGACTAAAGATGGATCAGATCCAAACCATGTATCATAAAGAAAATTCTTTTAATTCATAATCCATGTTGAACTTGAACTATAAACATTCAACATGTTCACAACATGAAGTTAACCTCCATGGTATACATTACAGATTCAACAGAACTCAGTAACTTTGGCTCAAATCTTATATATGTAAGTAAACTGAAATGATTGTGGTCCAGAACTCATAAACTAAAAAATTCTGACTCTGCCTCTGATATCAGAAAACTATGACATATATATGGAGAAAAACAAAGCAAATAATCCTCTTATTATTAAAAAAAACATAGCGATTTTTTACCTTTTGCTTTGTTCCTTCATATAAGCCAAATAGAAATTCAAGAAGATTGGAATTGAAAGGTAGTTGTAGTTGTCTCATGAGCATTGCTAGAAGTAGGTTTGTTTTGCATTTTCCTCTTCTTCTTCTTCTTCTTATAAGAAATTCCTCTTGCTTTAGCTTGAAAATCTCTTACCTCTCTAAGATAAACGCGTATAGATCCACTCGCGAATGGATTATTCTCTGGTAGGCCACCATTTTCTTCATAGGCAGCTCTAAGCCTACCAATAAGTGCATCAAGACTTCCCCATGCTTGTCTAAGAGGACAAGTACAAGGCCCTGGAGGCTCTGGTTGCCCAAAAAAAGGGCAACCATGTAAATGTACCTTAGTTTTTCCAAATTGATCTAGGTATCGGAGAAATTCTAGCACGTGGTTATAGTTACACTGGGATAAAGGAACTGGAGGCCTTTGATTTTTCAAGTATTGTCCAAAAGTGTTCCAATCACGACGTTTCTGAGACTCATATCGACTCAGTTGAGGCGGTACTGGTACTGATGGTAGCTGATGATGATGATCGTCAGATGGTGCTATAAGTATAGTGGTTGATGATCTTGATAACGATCCTTCTCCTTCTCCTCCTCCTCCTCCTTCGATTATTATTTGATCATTTGACATCATAGTATCAAAATATTTAATTGTGCAACCTAGGTTGACAATTAAAAAATCAGTATGCTTGGTAAAGAAATTATAGAGAGTAAGTTATGATCATTTCAAGCTTGAGATTTAATTAAATATTGTTGATTATTATGGAAGAAAGAAGAAATAGTGAGTAGAATTGTAGATGAGAAAGATGGAAATCAAATCATGGGGTATCAAGGAGACATGGTATGGGTCCAAGGAAAGTATATTAACTCTTCTTTTTCTTATTCCTTCTTGTTTTCTTCCTTTAATTGTCCTATTACCACTATGATGATTTACCTTATTTCTAGTTACTCCCTAACTTTTTTTTTACAGTACTATAGAGTCAAAATCACTCTATAACGATATCATTTGTCTGGATAATAATTTTTAAATATTTGTAAAAAATATTATTATAGAGAACATATAATATAATATAATAGGAGTTTCAATAATCCAATCAAAACAAACTTGATTATTATAGACAGTAACATAGTCAGAATTTTTTTACTAAGGAGCAAGATAGGGTGTGACAAAATTTCTACAATTATCATTGTATAGAAGTTAAGGTTTCAGGATTATTTATTTTAATTTTTAATAAAATTAAATATTATTAGTATCTTGATAATTGTGCTAGCTAGCATCATTAAAGCAATCATTATCAAGATATTAGCAAAATCAGCACTTTAATTTAGCCTTAGTAGGGGTAGCTAGAGCTGGAAAATATGTTAAATGGTGATAAACATGTACAGTTTATTACTAGCTACTTGTATGTATATGTAGAAATGAAATGACCCTACCATGATATGATTTCCATAAATTAAAAAGAAATAATTTAGTGCATAATTAAGTTAACAAAGAAATTTGTCTTAATTGTACTTTTCAGTAATTTGAGCTTGATGCTGAGCTGTAAAGACTAGCTTAAGAATATAATCTGCTGACTAATACAAAGTAATTACAAAAGAAAACATATGTGATGTTGGGGTTCCTAAGATAATGGAAATTGTAAAGAACCAAATTGAAATAAGTAAATAAAATATTGGTTAAAGATATCTAAACATAGTGGATTAACAAAAGATTTAGGGTGTGTTTGGTACGAATGAAAATATTTTTCATTTAGTTGTATGAACTTTTCACTTTTGATATCGCATCTAATAAACAATTTTTTGAGAATTCAATACACATCTATAAATATTTTTAAAGAATCTAAACGTCATAGATATAAATATATGTATAAGTAATAACTGCTTAATCAACTTCAACTTGAAGAATAAACGACAGTTGCCTTTTAGCCTACGTTATGTGTGTGATACTTATCATAATATTTGTTAATCTTAATAATACATAACCATTAACCAACACTGCTAGCTACTGCTAGTAATGCTCAGTGATAATATTATCCTTTTCTCTATTACTAATAGATTTGTACTATTTTTGTTGTTGTTGGCAAATTTGTAGCTATAGAGGATCTCTTCTATCTTCCTTTATTTTGGACTTTGTAGTACTTGTCATATGTCATTAGATGTTATAATTAAAGAGTTGTCAAATAAAAAAAGACTAAAAATGAAAGTAAGATAAACAAATTGAAACGGAAGGAGTATATATATGTTAGTAAAAATAGTGTTGTTATGGCTTTCTTGTTTTTCGGATAACCAAGAAATCCCCAGGTACTAGCTAGTGATGCATGATTCAAAACTCGATGTAACAAACCAATCTCATCTAAGCTATAGATAACATCTTACGCACCCCCACAACCCCGCCAAAAAAGAAAGAGCAAGAAGAAATAAAAATAAAGTTTGAAACTTTAGCATTACTGCATGTACATCAGAGTGTTTCTCTTTGACTGATAGGAAGAAAAGCATACATACCTTTCTCAGATGCCAAATCGTGAATGTTCAAGAGAAATGTCCAAATCATTAGAAGCAAAACATGAATTCCCCAGGAGCAGATGTATATAGAAATGTTCAGAAGATGCATGTTGTGGAGATGAGGATGTTGAGATGGATGTGTGGACATACTAGGAGAAACAAGATCAGGAATGAAGTTTTCGGGAGAAGGTGGGAATGGTCTCTGTGGCGGACAAGATGAGGGAAGCGAGACTGAAATGGTTTGGGCATGTGCAAAGAAAGTGCATTGACGCACCAGTGAGGAGGTGCGGGCGGTTGGTTGTAGGGGGTACACAGAGAGGTAGAGAGGTAGGCCGAAGAAGTATTGGGGATAGGTGATCAGACAAGACATGGTGCAACTTGATATTACCGAAGACATGCCTCCAGATAGGAAAGAGTGGAGGTCGCATATTAGAGTAGAAGGTTAGTAGGGGTGAAGTGGTGTATTGTCGTGCGTAGGTATAGGCTTGTTAGTGCCTGTCGTAGTGCTAATCATACCCTTGTAGTTCTTGCCTTATGTCGTGTATTGTGTTTCAATTACCACACTATTTTGTTGTTGTTATTGTTTCTTTCTTTTAGACTTTACACTGTTTTTCTTATTGACGGTTATGCTTTCTTCATTATTTTGTTCTTCTAATTTTACTTGGGTTCGATACACTTGATCCGATTATCTTTCCGAAACAACCTCTCTGCCTCCTCGAGGTAGGTCTGCGTACACTCTACCCTCCCAGACCCCACTTAGTGGGATTTCCCTGGGTATTTTGTCGTTGTTGTCTCCATGTGGCAGAAGGGTGGAAAAAAAACAATTGCAAGTTTTGTCATGACGTAATTTTCATGTTCAAGAGAGAAAAAGGGAACAAAAATAAGCAAATAAAATTTCAGACACTTCATTGTTAGTACAAGAAAGGTGATCCATGTAATATCACTTTAATCTTGGAATACCGAGCAACACAAATGCCAAGGTGGTGCTATTGTTCGAAACTTGTCTCTTATTGCACAAAGTGAAAACCTGAACAAACCCAAGAAACAGAAGAGCCAATGCAGAAGTATTGCCTTCCAATCATAACTGGAAGACTGTTGATAACTTCTTTGACAGCAGTTCACATAGAGGAATTGTTATGTTGAAGGAGTGGAAGACAATGAATTGGAGCAATGTCAGACACCATCTTTAACATCACCAAGATGAGATGCCAAAGAGACCCTTCGAGCAGGAACAGACCGAAATTTGCCAAAGCTGAAAGGCAAACGAGACAAAGTGCTTCTGGGGCAACTATCGCTAACTTTATCATAGTGTATTGTGTAATTTGAGCTGCTTATGTTCCTGGAGTAGCAGAATGAATTGCCCTTATATTTGTAGACCTGTTGGGTACTCCCAACCCCGCTGACTACTATCCGGCCCTTTACAAGAATATGGCCCTGTGCTTTTTGCATGTTTTCAGTAGAGCTGGCTGATGATCCGTTCTTGGACGTCTTTACCCTCTTATCATTAAATCCCAGCGTAACATTTGAGATTGAGGCATAGCTTTCGTCTCCTTTGTCTACATCGTCAGAATGCAAGAGAAGCAGAAACTTTTTAAAGGACTCAAGAGACTGGACAGATGAAGATGGCATCACAACATCAACAGTTTCATTGAAATAAATAATCTGATCCACATTTTGCAAATTTCCTCCGTTTCCCTCCACCATATAATTACTATAACTTAAACCTTGAGCTGACTTAGTAGTGATGTTCCCATAGGAGGACTTTACCCATCCTGTCAATGTGATTGATCTACTAGCATTTGTGACAAAAGATCCATCAATGCCTGTAAAATTTGTCATAAGAGAAAATGAAAGAGGCAGACTACTATACTTCAATAACTTCCCTTCTGTCTTTATACTCTTCTCATCTAACCAAAGATGCAAATTTGCATCAATGTACCACACATTAAGAGCATTCGTGACACTAAATGAAATCTTATGCATATTTCCATCTAAAATCTTCCCTAAAAATGGCGTAATTTCAATATCATACGATGGAAGATCAAACGATCCGATCCCACTGATAGGTCTCCACAAGAGAGGATTGACACCCCCGGTATAAATCACAGTGAACGGCCAAACTGCACCAACCACCACATCATCCACACTAACTACTACTTCCCTAAAAGCTCCATTCCCTGAAGTATCAGTAAGGTTATTTGCACGAATATAATCATTCGGTGGATTACTATACCAAAACTCATCATTCTCATGAAATGAAACATAAATTTCCAGTACAGCCCTATAAGCATTTTGTGGAATTTCAAACTCTTTTGACTGAACATCTGTAGAATTCTCAACCTCAAACCACAATCCATCATTCAATGGCATATTTCTCGAAATAGGTAAGATCAAATCAGCCCTAGAATCAAATGCCTCATACGAATAATCCGAATTTCGCTTATAATCACTATACATTTCTTCAGCAGGATAAAAATGAATAAAAAGTTCCACATGGTATACACCAGTATAGGTACTATCAACTAAATTCCCCATATAAACAGCAAGAATTTGATTTTTCATCATAAGCAAAGAGTAATACCTTGTAATATCCTTCTTGACAGTCCAAACAATCCCATTAGCCCTTGGTTCAGCAGTGCAGCTTCTGAAAATCTCAACCCCACTAAGCCAAACCCCAAAAATTCTATCAAATTGCCTCCCTTTACAAGTTGCTTTCCATTCCAGCACAATCTTGGAAAATTTCTGAGATGGGCAATTAAAAGGGGGTGTGTAGTTTGCAAGAAAAGGGGGTTTTCCATATGTGTAACCAAAGTCCTGTTGAAGGACTAAATATGAACAAGGATTGATTTTGGGGAGATTTATAGGTTTGGTTACTTCAAAATAGGTTGTTGGGGTGGCATTGTTGTTCTTGGAAGAAGAGTCTAGCTGGGTAATGAGGTGTGATTTAAAGAGAGAGGTACCATGTAGAGTTGCTGTGGAAAAGAGTGGTTGTTGGAGTAAGAAAAAAGTCAAGAAGAGGAAAGAGGGGAAGAAGAATGCCATTAATGGTTTTGGTTTGTGATGTATGTTTTGATTGAGTAGAAGAAGAATGCCATTAATATAGTGTAGATGAAAGTTTGGTATGCTTTTTTCCTAAGTTACAATTTGTTTGTTCATACTATTTTATCATAATTTATTGTTTAAACTTTAAATAGATACATAGATTATATTGTTTTGGCATAATACATAAACAAGACTTTTTATTTGGCTTCAGGGGATAAATATGCCCTCCAACTTTGAATATGCACAAGTAGACACTCAAACTTATATAAAATTGAATGAATAAACACATGTGTCCTACGTAACATTTTACATGTAGGACGCCACATAGGACACGAAATTTCCATGTAGGGTGTCATGTAGGATGAATGTGTCTATTTATTCAATTTTATACAAGTTTAAGTGTCTACTTATGCACATCCAAAGTTAAATGTCATAGTTGTCAGCTGAAGTCAAGTTAAATGTCATGTTTATGTATTATGCCTATTGTTTTCGGTCATTACATAATATCATATATTCGTAATTTGAATGAGAAAAAAATAAGATATCGAATAGAGCTTTTAGGTAAAAATAGGAAAAAATATAAAATAAAATAATTAAATAATAAATAAAGATAAAAAAAAAAAAAAATTATTAAGGTAAGGAAATCAATTAATTGAGGGCAATACTTGGGAGGTCAACACATATATGATGTTCAATCAAATCAATCATTACACAACATGAATCTTTTCATGGTTATATAATAATAGATTTAAACTATACAATAAAATTTAAATAACAATTGAAACAAACATAATATTTAAACTAAAAAAATAAATTAAAATTATTTGATTGCTTAATTGAATTATTATCATGTTTAAGATAGGAAAAAGGGGTATTTCATAGTTGAGGTGCATATAGAGTAGACTGAAGTTATGTGAGGAATTTGGTGTGAGCGGTGAAGTAGCTCATCCAGCGGCGGCCCTATTGCACGGCGAACGGAGAACGGCGTATGACAAATCCTCTGTTTCGAGGTTTTCGAAGACTTGCCTTACTTTCACTTAGCAAGCCTCTCTCCTCTTCTTCTACCTCTTCCAGGTAAAGCTTATATTTTTTTCAAAATTTCTCTACTTTTTTTTTCTAGTTAGTTTTGATTATGCTTAGTAGGTAATTGGACATGTTATATGGAATCATGATTTCAAATCAGCATTTGAACATGTGATATGAAATTATTAGTTCAAATGAGCATTTGGATATGTGATGTGGATTGTGGATTCACTATTTCAAATCAGCCTTTGAATATACATTATGACTTCAAGTTTCCAAAAAGTATGATTTGATAAGTTTATATTTTGTATTAAAAGATTCAACATTTTAAATTTTGCAAAAAAAGATTCATGCTTGGCGCAAAGAGATAGTTATTACTATTGTTGACTAGTGGATCTTTATATATATATATATGATATATCAATGTGGTGCCTTTGGATATTTTGATATTTAGTTAGTGAATTATGATTTGATCATTTGGTAAGCTTGTATAGGAATTGGGAAAATATTGATAGTTCTTACAGTTTGTGGATTTTTCATGTTTATGAGAAAAAATACAACTTAAGCAATCTAATTGCATGTACAAACAAAACTTCAATTTTAAATCAATCTAATTTATGTTGCGTGCGAACAGGCACTTAAGTATGTCCAATTTAGTTTTGATTATCTCACACTGTTGTCTCCATATTCAGACCAATTCTTGGAAATCCAGAAAACTTTTTGCACTTGTCAAGGTTAGTGCTTAAGGATAGGTTAATCCAACAAAACCCCTGTTGGGAATCAAGGAACTTTAGTCATGGAAGAGTGGATTTTGTGATAACAAGAGATGGAAAACTAAAGTTTGAGGAACATGAAGTGGAGGCACCAAAGACGGAGAAATGGAAGACAAAGAAGAAGCTGAAGCTGCAAAGGAAGAGGGAGAAGAAGAAGAGAAAAGCTGCCAACAAGAGAGATCCTAGAAGACTTGGTGTTCAGGGGAAGAAGAAGAAGCAGAAGTTTGACACTGCTGAAGAAAGAATCAAACAGAAGATTGAAAATGTGAGATAAAGATTTTTCTTTTTCACTTTTAGGAGCCCATGATTGTTTTGTTTTTTGCCAATAATGCTACTGCTATTGTTATTTTCTCCATTATTCTATAGGCGGTCACTTGGGTCGAGGGTCCTTCCGAAACAACCTCTCTACCTACTTTCAGAAGTTAGGGAGGTATGAGTAAGGTTGCGTACACACTACCCTCCCCAGACTCTACTTGTGGGACTACACTAGGTTGTTGTTGTAATGCTGCTACTACTACTACTGAGGATTCATATAGCCACCCCCAACTTGTTTGAGATTGATGCGTAGTTCTTGTTTTTACAAATACCACCGCAGCTACTGAAACTATGGGGCAATCCCGAATTATTTGGTCTCAACTATATCATTTCTCAATATCCATCCCGTTCCGTCTGAACCTGTATGATTGTTGTCATTATATTAGCTTAATAATCTGCAGTAATATTAAGATGAACTGAATTGAAGCACTTGGTGAGCTTAAACCTGTTTTCTTCAATTTGGTTGACAAGAATTAGAAGGAAGCCGGATGAAAATGACAAATAAGACATATTCATGTGTTTTCTGTTGTTATTGCTAAATTTATTGAGGAGCCTTTTATTTTACAGTTTCTCATTTGGTACTTGGAAATTAGAGAGAGATTGGAGAAGCATTACTGATCCTGCCTTTGTCTTTTTCCTTCTCTTCTTGGCTGTGGTTGTTGGAGCTTAATCTTAGTAGTTATTGCAAAAAAGATCCATTTTGTCTACGATTTCTGTCGTGGAAATACTGGAGACTGGAGAAAGAAAAGAGCCCTGGTGCTTTCAAATTACTTCCAATTTTTGTGTCATCTGCTGAAACCAAGTTACAACAAGTCCTGTATGCATGGTTACTGCCTCACTGAGACATTGATACCATTTCGTAGTTAATTGTTGTATCTATCTTAACCTTTTCCTGGTTTAGGGGTTTGAAGAATTCAGTGTGGTCATCCTATATTTATGTTTATAGAAGCTAAGATTTGCTATATTTGCATTTTCCTTTACTGCTATACAAAACCTATTGTAATTTTTTTATTTCAACAAAAGCTGACATGTGTTGGCTTTGGGTCAGGCAAAAGTCAAAGAAGCCATGCTAATTGAGAGACTAAAGCGATATGAGGTTTCCAAAGTTCAAGGTCCTGAGGTTAAGCCGCACTTTCTCACTGGTGAAGAACGATTCTATATTAAAAAGATGGCACAAAAAAAGTCTAATTATGTGCCAATTGGCAAAAGGGGTGTCTTTGGAGGTGTTATTCTTAATATGCATCTACATTGGAAAAGGCATGAAACTGTCAAAGTCATATGCAAACCCTGCAAACCTGGTCAAATTCAAGAATATGTTGATGAAATTGCAAGACTGAGTGGTGGCATCCCGATTCAGATAATTGCAACTGATACCATTGTTTTTTACCGAGGAAGGGAATATGTGCAGCCTGAAATTATGTATCCTATTGATACACTGTCGAAGAAGAGGGTAAGTTTGTTAGAGCTAATTTTCTATAATAACCAAGTAATTGCTTCTCATCATGGATTCATGCAAAATTCACTTTCTCAAGTCTTCTACCATCAACTTCTAATCATTGCTACCAACTTCCACAATCATTCTTCTGCGGTTGACGTGCTACTTAGTCTATTTGCGTGGGTCCTTCATTTTCTCTATTGATAGAGTTACCTGATACTTGTTGCTGGTGGGAGGTGGAATTAATCGAGGTGCGCGAAAGCCGGGCTAGACACCACGGTTATCTTTAAAGAAAACACTCTACTGCCCTTTTGTGACATGTGTTATTCACTCTACCTCACAAATAACAAGACCCTTTGTTGCACCATATATACCCCATTGCAGTTTGCAATTTCATCTTTTTCCATCGACCTTCTTTACTGCTTCATTTGTGATAAAATTATACGAAAATATTGGTTGGTTTTTGCAATTTGTTTTCACCATTTTAATCCATTGATGGTTTTTTAGTTCGAAACTGAAACTAAATGTTGTCAGCTTTACATCTTCATTCTTAGGAATGTATACCAAAATGTCGTTTATTTCACTCGGTGAGATAACAAAGTTATCTGTCACTTTGTATTCAACGAAACATAGTAACGATCTTCGTTTTGCAAATGGCTTTTGGATATTTAACCTACCATTTTTGCCCTCACAGACCTTCATTAGTCTCATACTCTGTTTCTCACATGTTTAATGCTACTTTTTTTGGAATCAGTTCACTACACTTAAGGATTTGACTTTTAATACTGTTTGATTCTGTCATATTTTATCTATATCTTTGTTTTATCTATTTTTGCATCAACCATGGTATGAATTACTAGTCAATTCTCTTTCTTCAGGCGTTGGAAAAATCCAAATATGAGCAATCACTAGAGTCTGTGAGACATTTCATTGCCATTGCTGAGAAGGAACTTGCACTCTACTATAGACATGTTGCCCTATACGATGACCCAAATAATCAGAGTTCTTACTCCATCCTTGATGATTCAAGAAGCACAAGTGAAAAACGAAATGATGAAATAGGAGAGGAGAACTATTCAGCAGGCGAATCTATTTCCTCGGATCTCGAGTTACCTCAAATTGATGATTATTGTTCTGATGACAAACAATCTTTAAGCGAATTTGAATTTGAGGATACTGACGAATCAAGTAGTGATGACTTGGATTCTGGGGAGGAGGAAACTAGTAATTACTGAGGTAGCATATGGGGAAATATTTCAATATTGAGACCTGAAATAATGTGGTTTTAATTCTTGATCTGATAATTGAGGGATTGGAATAGAATAGGCCTTTTCAATTCTAAATCTTCTGTTTGGTTATCCTGAAATTGGCACAGAAATTGGAATTTGATCTTTAATTTGTTTGACGCAATTTCATGAGCTAATTCTATAGCTTAGGTTAAAATTTATTATTCTTATTTTAATATTTGACCTTTTCAATTGGTTTGCTTGTATTGACACTAGACTCTAACAAGAACCATTACTCGTGAGGTTATCTAGGGGTTCCTCCCCTTGTGTTGGCAACAAGCTGACCTGATTGGCTTAGTGTTGATGTTTGTAACTTAATGGTAGAATTTTACTTTTATATCTTCGATTGATGGTTGAAGGACTTCTTTAAAGCTTCTACAAAATCTTTGTGGGCAAATCCTTGATACAGATTTATTTGATTTCGATGGCACATGCTTCACTCCTGCAGAACTACAATAAATGGCATTCAGGTTGGTTGAAGAGAAGGGCCAGATATTTTCCTGGTAAGTAATTGTTGTATATATATATATATGTGTGTGTGTGTGTATATTTGCACCTTACCCTTTGCAGACACTGGGTCCAATCAGGGGCGGATCTACATGGTGGCAAGGGGGTTCACCCGAACCCCCTTCGTCGGAAAATTACACTGTATATATAAGGTCAAATTCTGTTTTCATGTGTATATATATTAAAATGAACCCCCTTAATATAAGTAAAGAGGCTGGCTCAGTGGTTAAGGGTGTTCAAGAATTTGCCTGGACGCCTTGGGTTCGATTCCGCACGGCGCAACACTTCTTTTTCTTTTCTTCATTTAGAAAATCAAATAGCTAGGCTGAGATGGGCTCAATATTTTTGGGCTGGAGCTTTATTATTATTTTTTGGGCTTATTTTTTTCAATGTTATTTCTCCTTTTCAATATTCATTTGTTTGAATATAGGGAATTAGGCACATTATTTTCATTTTTTATATTTTATTCTTTTTATCTCTATTGCTCATTTTATTTTTACGTAACTCTTTTTTTATATAGTAATTCAAAGGAACTTTTTAAAAAACTGTCAATTATTCTTAAACTTGAATTTGAGATAGAGAAAAAATATTTTAAAGATAAATTACACTAAATTTAATCGAACGAACAAATTTGAAAGGCATGATTATTCATGATATTTTTTTCTCATTTTTTCATTTCTATTCTAGAGAGATGTAAACTACATTTATTTGATTATTCTTCTTTTATTTTTCACCGATTGAAAACCTTATTAATTGAATAAATGAACAAAAAATTGGCGATGCCATTTATTTATCCTTTTAATATGCATTATAATATTAGTAACTCAATCCCCACACGTTTGTAAAGAGTATCAAACAATTTTAAAGTAACATATGATTGAATGAACACGAATTTAATTTATTTAAAAATTCAAAATAAAGTAAAACAATAAAAAAATAAAAGAAAAAAAAATCACTTTTTTAAAAAAGAAAATCAATGAAGCAGGGTAAAAGTAGGAAACAAAGTTAAACGCGGCTTGACAAGGCAAATTAAATTTAACAGATTAAGGATAATTTTTTTCTTCCCCGATTCGTTTTGCTCCATTTTTTTATTTACTTCTTTATATGTTGAACCCCCTCCACGAAAATCCTGGCTCCGCCACTGGGTCCAATATGGAACTGGTTCTGCAATGTGTTTCATTTTGTTTTTTTCTCATGCATGCGCAGTCATTTTATGTCTCTGATTACTTTGTTTGGAGAATCACTATTTGGTTTTGTCAGCATTGAGACCAAGCTAGCAAACTTGATATATGCTTTTTGACAAATTTGAGCCCTTATGTAGCTTTTTGAGATTCTGGACCTTATATCCTTGATCAACACTATCTTCCTTCTAAATATGACAAGGCAATTATGTAACGATTTAGACATATATACCAATGTTGTCTGCTTGAACTTTAGATGTTAGGATTCTAATTCTCTTTCGCTCGCTTTACTCTTGTAAGAGTTCACTATATACCTTGTAATCGCACTGCGAAACCTCTTTACCCTTTTGCTTGTTACTTGATTCTTTGAATATGGCATACATGTTTATGCTTTGGTAAATAGTAAACCAACCTCATATCAGAATTAAGCAACACCTCAGTTTTTATCTGTATGTATCTCAACTTTGTAACGACATAATATGTGAAGCTGGTAAGCACGTTTTGAGTTCTGAAGCAACTTCACTTAACCGACAAATCAAAATTTTCGATCTCTTCTCTAGATATCATGTGGTTAAACTATATTTGTTGTTTTTCAGCTTGGTAGATCTTGAATTATTAGTTGCTGCTTGTACCCTGAATGTCTTGGTTGATATTAGTTATTTTTAATCTTTCCTCACCCTATTTTGCAGAAAAATAGCGTAATCTTATTTGACAAATGAGACGCCTGTAAAGAAATCAAGTCCAGGTGGATCATAAAAAACAGCCAAGTGATTTCTTCTTATTCATCCAAGTCTTGGTTGGCAGTGTTTACTGGTGTCTGTGACTCTAGGAGCTGAGACGTAGAAGGTACTTGATGAAATAATTGAAGTGCGCGGGAAAAAAAGTGGATAGTAAAGATCAGAGCATGCAAAAAACAATTTAAACCTTGAATACCTTTATTATTGTTGGTTTCTTGAGACATGTTGAAAGTTCCAAGGATGTAATTTTGAACTTTATTTGGTTGGGTACCAAACTTTTACCTCAACTCTCAGCCGAGGATACTATTGCCAATAAATCACAAGCTAATTATTCCCAAGTGAGATCATATTTCCTATGTGAAGATTTCTATTTTCAGATGTTGCCTACTAGGATTCAAAATTCAATATTTCTTCCGTCTCAATTTATATGACTCACTTTTCTTCTTAGTTTCGACTTTTTTACTTGGGAACACCAACTATTTTGTGTTATCCAAACACACACAAAAAAAGAAGTCAAAAGCCAATCTAAAACTAAAGAAAAAACTTTTAAAAGCAAAAAATCACTTAAAATAAGCTAATTCAAACACTCATTCAGAAATGATCACCGTCAGGATTCAGAACTGGAATCTTCCTACTACTCTTGTTAGTTGGGATGGAGCATTCTATCTTGTTGATTCTCCTTTCCCACCATCTCGAGTTTTCGCTTTCAGGATGAATACGTAAGAAATTTACTATGAAAATCGACATGATACAATCCCTACAGAGTCTTGTCTCTAACGTGAAACAAATCTAATGAATCAATATTTATCTAGAGAACCTTACACCTTCTTCAATTACACAAGTGATTCTTATTAAAATTTTCTTATAAAGTCTTAACGGTTAACTCGATAATTGAATCAATAATAATCAATAACTAGTTCAATCAATATTTTAATTCTATAATTATTTAACATATCTACAAATTGATAATTAATAAGTAGAATTGATAATTTTCAAAACCGAACCGAACGGACTAATCTAAACTCTATATTTGTCAACCCTAAGGACTATTTTGGTCATTTTATCTAAATTAGCCTTATTTCTTTCTCTTCACGGGAATATTGCAATCTGTAAATCAGTAAAGCAGTGATAAGGAGATAATTTTTCAAAGAAAAAAAGATGGCTGGATTATCACAAGATTGGGAGCCGGTGGTGATTCGTAAGAAAGCGCCGACCGCCGCCGCACGGAAAGATGAGAAAGCAGTCAACGCCGCTCGTCGCGCCGGTGCCGAAATCGAAACCGTCAGAAAAGGTATACTGTATCCTGCTCCTTATTTTCATCTTAGCCTTATTGATTTTATAACTACCTTTTTTCCGATGAGTTATACTGTATCCTGCTCCTTTTTTCATTCCCGTTCGTTTTTGCTTGGTATGAACTAGGGCTTTTATTTTCATTTTTATTTTTATTTTTCCGGTCAGGTTAACGGCCAATTTCGACGTACACCTCTTTATCTATGGTTTCCTGTTTACATATAGCTAAGTCATGCTCCAATTGAATAACTCAACTCCTAGTAAAACACTTTTGATTCAGAAAAATTTGAATTTTTTTTTTTGCTCGTGTTCTCAATCGTCTATTAGATAGTTAAACATATCATTTTTAATGATATGCATCAACCTCAAGTAGAAAATGTATGTGGTTTTATAGATGCGTATAATCAAGGAAGTGGCATATTTTATGTCGTTAGCTTAGCTATCTAATAGACGAAGGAGAACACGCTCAAAAAAAGAAAATTTGAATCGGAAGTGTCTAATTGGAACATGACTTAGTTCAAATGTCTAAGTGGAATATCCTAGAAAGTTTAAGGGGTTGGTTAGGTATGAGGCGTGGTTATGTTTCAATTATGGCAGTCATGTATAGTAAGTATTATACTACATTGGTCTGCAATGAGTGTCTGTACGGTTTTTATTTTGCTTTTCCGAAGATACAAACGACTGTTGCCTCTAATGGGATTTGGACCAAGGTTCTAAGGCTGTTACTCCAGATTTTCAGCTCTAAACTATACATTTGGGGCAAGTGAGTTTATATCTCATAAAGCTTAAACCGTTAGAGAACATACTTATATTTACTTAATTAAAGAAGTTAATATTGTCTAGATTCATTCTCTGTATTTAGGTTAATAGCAAAACTTACTCTTCCTGGTTTTGGTTTTGTGACAAATAGAAATTTCAATGTGTGGATAGATTTTCTTATTTATAACTTATCTGCTTCGTGTGGTCCAGATTCGCTGTTAGTAGCCTTAAATCCTATATAAGGAGCATATTGTATATTGTCTTCTACCAATTGGGCCAAATTCTCCCTTCTTTTTTCTTCTCTATTTTAACATTAGGAAAGGGAGGCTCCAAGTTTCTTTTATGTGCATTTTTCTTTTCTACTTTGTTTGCCAAGAGAGACTAGTAATCTGAATTTTGATATTGGTAAGTGGAAAGTGGAAACTGCTAGGTCCTGAGTGATACGCACGTCGCTTTGTCATTGCATGTTGAGGGCAGTCAGGGTCGGGAAGGAAATGACTCGTTAATGTTGGAACGCACCTACTTTTATGTAGAATGATATCTCTCTATATGTTCTATGTTTTTGCCAATTGCTAGATGGTGCAAAACTTCATTATTGGTGTGGTATTTTTTTTGGTTGACATCGATCCTTTAGTTGAAAAAATGAGAAGAATGTTTTGCACTCATGAAATCTATTTTCTGATGCAGCTACTGCTGGGTCAAACAAGGCTGCCTCTAGTAGTACAACTTTGAACACGAGAAAGCTAGATGAAGATACTGAGAATCTGTCACGTAAGTTTGAGTTGATATAATAACTAGAAACACTTCTATAATACATTGTGGTTAGAGAGCTTTTCTTTGCTCTGATCTATTATCCACTGCGATTTGAACCATGCGCCACTAGCTCTAGGAATTTCTCGATTATCAAAAAAAAGAAGAGCTCTTTTCTGCTCTGTGAGTCCAAGTCATGCTTACATCCTGACTTGACAAGCAGGCACCTTTTAAAGGTTTCTCCTTCAGGCAAATGCCAATTGGTTTGCCAGTGGAAAAAACCCAGGCATTTTATCTTTTGGTGATGACGTCGGGTGTTACTTTTTGTTTTTGTTCTCAGATGAAAAGGTACCTACTGAACTGAAGAAAGCCATTATGCAAGCTCGACAGGATAAGAAGCTTACTCAGTCTCAACTTGCCCAAGTATCTCTCTCTCTCTCGCGCTCTCCCTGCTCTTGCCCCCTTTTTCTTTTTTTAAATAAAGCAATCATCTACATATAGATAGATTCACGAGAAAGGCTTAATTCATTGTATCCATATAATTCTGGCAATCCCTTTGTTGTGCAGTTGATAAACGAAAAACCACAGATCATTCAGGAGTATGAATCTGGAAAGGCAATTCCAAACCAACAGATAATTTCTAAGCTGGAGAGAGCTCTTGGTGCGAAACTTCGTGGAAAGAAATAAACTGCAAGAATGGGGGAAAGTGAACCTTTTGGCCCTCACTATCTTTTGGGGTCCTAAAAGTGGTCATGTACATGAGCCTTTTTCTTTTGAACCAGTATGGTGGTGGTTCTTGTGTCTGGATGTTACTTTCGTGGTTAAACCGAGAGTCGAAAATGGATGTGCTTGCTCTTGCTATGTGTATTAGTTTATGGATTGTGATTCCTAATTTCTTTGTAGGGATGTCTTGTTTTTAAAAATGGAGGATACTTCCATTTTGTGACGCCATTCAACAATTTTCTGTCAATATTACCTTATGAAGTATTTCCAAACTTTTCTTAAAATTAGAGATAGCGAATGTTAGCATGTGATTATAGTTGAAATACTCGTTAAAGACTAGGCTAAACTTTTGATTAATTTTTTTAATTAATACATTTTAAAAATTTGAAACATTCATTCATTTTAGACCACTAAAAAGTGCTAGAAATCACACATTGAATTGGAGGATTTATGAAGACATTAGTGCAAATAATAAGTTGCTATTTAAGATATCGATCTTCATTATTATTGCTAATAAATCGTTTTTCTCTTGGCTATATAGTTTTTTTTTATTAATTCTTCTACTAAATGAAAAATAATAATTTTCTTAAAAATGGAACTAGTAGTCCGCATATTAATTCAAGTCAAATTCAATAGATTTTATTTAAATAGTATTTGTATATTAAAATCCTAATATTGTAAAATCTTAGTTTCGCCTCTACGTTACATTCTGCTTTAACCGTGAATAGCTTTGCAGTCCATTATTTATTATGGATATATTTTGTGTAGGAACTGCCGATTTGTTTATTGGTATTTTCCTTTGATATTATCTTTTGGCTGTCGTATGATGAGTTCATCTACTTAAATACAAAGCAATTTTTTCACCATTAAGTCACATTGAAAAGTGTTACGGAAATATCGTTGATTATTTAACAATAATCACAAATTTAAAAAAATAACATAAAATTTTAATGAGATTCAACTATGTCTTATTATTTGGATCCTAACAAAAAGCTCAAAACTCACTATTAAGGAGAGACAAAGTTAAAATTTAAAATTGAATCATAATTTTAAAACTTAAAATGGAGTACGTAATAATAACCATATCCTGTTGTTCAAGCGGTGGTTTTAAGAAGAAAAAAGGCTTCTATCAGCCCTATAAACTATATAAATAGATAAGACTTAAAAGAGATAGACTAAAATATCATTTAATAAATATTCCTTCCGTTCATTTTTACTTGTCACTTACTCTTAAAATAAATTTTGATTTTTACTTGTCACTTTTGACATATCAAGAAAAAAACAATATTTTTTTTCCATGTTTTACCCTCAACACCAACATAAAAAATGACCATTAGCGGCAATTAATTAACGACAATTAACCATCTTTGTATATGTCCGTAAAACCTTTAGTCACATTGATTTTAAACACTTAATTAAGACAATAAAGACTTTAGCATCCTTTATTAATGTTTATATTTATTACCGGTAAAAGTTATTTTTGTTATAGTGACATTAAATACTTATTTTTTAAATTATTTTATTTAATAGGGAATAGTTTGATAAAATACTTATATTATTAATTATTTTTTTAATGAATATGCCAAGTTAAATTGCGATGAGTAAAAGTAAAAATGAGGGGGAAGGGGTGAAGTTGAGCAACGATGAGAGGAAGATGACAAAAGAAAAAAAAAGTAAATTGACAAGATATTTTCATGAAAACGTTAGGTCACTTCTTTCGTCATGAAAATACATTTAATTTTATCAGACGTTATAAATCTTCCTAGTTCCAAAAAAAAAAAAAAAATGTGTACAATCTCCACTTCTCAAGGCCTATAAATCAACCCACTCAAAAATTAAATCTTATCCAAACAAAAAGGTTAAAATGACAAGTTTTCAAAAATTCCATGAAGAATGGCATGAACATCTTCGTGAACTAGTACAACAAATGACCAAAGTACCAAAATCTTGTACTACAAATCAAGATGAACAAAACACAAAATTATTAATCCAAAAAGTTACTTCACATATTAATGAATATTATCGAGTTAAGTCATTAGCAGCCAAAAATGATGTACTTTATATTTTTAGTGCACCATGGTCTAATTCTCTTGAGAGATCTTTGTATTGGATTGCTGGTTGGAGACCTACTACTGCTTTTCATATTATATATACTGAATGCGGAATTCATTTAGAATCTCACATAACTAATATTCTCAATGGATTTCGTAATGATGATCTTGCGGACTTATCTCCAAATCAGCTCACTCGATTTAGTGAACTTCAATGTGAAACTATTCGACAAGAAAATACAATCACCGAAGAACTCTCTGATTGGCAGGTAAACACTTCAACTTATTTATTTTTAGCTTTATTTAAATCTCTTTTTCTTTAAAGAACAACTTTCACCTATAGCAAACATAAAAATCATATTTGTATGTTATAACTATAGTTTGCATAATTGTGCTCCATAGCAAATTTTATGTTTGCTATGGAGCTTTTGATTTGTATAATTCGCTAGATACATCCAATTTTATACAAATTGTTCAGTTTTGTATAAATTCATTTATACATTATAATTTGTATAATAAGATCTGTATTTGTATAATTATAAGTGTATCATACGAAACTATATGTATTTGTATTTGTATATACATTTTTCTCTCGTTTTATACAAACAAAAACGCATTTTATACATTTGTATACCGAATGGATAATTGTATACCGAAAATGACTAATTGTATACCGAATTAGATGACAAAAAAATAGGATTGTTGCGAATTACAAATAAAATAAACTATAACTATAACATTTAATTTGAATTAATAGTTTATTATTTCATACAATTTTCCCTTCTTTAAACTCTTGATTCGAAAAATAATTCATCTTATTTGAAGTAGAGTAACAATAATTATCTTTTATAATACTTCCTCTGTCCATAATTACTTGTCCACTTTTGAATTGACATACTTATTCATAAAACAATGATTGACACAGTGAGGTTATCATTTTACCACTATTAATAATGAATTGGATGAATTTAAAACTTAAAATTTTGAAGAAGTTTTACATTTTTTAAAGTAATTAATTGAGAATATAATTTGTCAAAATGGATAAGTAATCAAGAATAACTAAAAAAAGAAAAGTGGACAAGTAATTATTTTGAATTAGGAAAATATATTTTTGTTTTTCAACTAATATATATTTTTGAGTTGGTAGGATGGTGCAAATGAAATAATTGAAAAGATAGAGAAGAAGATGGAAAGGCTTGTAGAGATATTGGAGAGAGCAGATGAAGTGAGGGTCACCACCATCCACAAATTGGTGCACCTCTTAACACCACAACAAGCCCTCCAGTTTTTGATTGCAGCAACCCACTTGCTTTTTGGGATTCGTACCTGGGGAATCAATCACGATAATCAACGTGTCAAGGGATAGCTTTAGATTTTATCTGTGTTAAGTCTGATTAATTTAATTTTTTTTTAATTTTAGATTGTAGTTTAATTTTGAACTTTTAATAATGGTAGTATAGTATTATTGTTTAATTTACTCTCACATTTTCATAGTCTTTCCATGATCTTCCATACCAATTCGTGATTTTTATCTTATAATTTTTATGGTTAATAACGTATTTATAACTATTGTTTGTAACATTATAAATAAGGGGATAAATTATATTAAAGTATAAAGGGAAAAGGCTCAAATATGTTATTGAATTTTTAGAAAAGGCTCATTTATGTCATTCGTTAAAAGTTTGGCTCATCTATGCCATTACCGTTTAAGAAAAGTCTCATTTATGCCATTATTTTTTAACAGTAATTTTGCAAAATGTGTTAAAGTTTTCATTATCTGTTTTATGAACATGTTTGTGGCTTAAATAGTTTTTCACTAAATGAGTCAGTAGGTTACCTTAAAAAAAAAACCACTCAAAGTAATTCTCAATGTAATTTTGTTGTTTTGGTACTTTGTCAACCATTTTTTCCAAGCATATATGTGCCTTTAAAGCTAATTATTTGTCAATAGGTTTTTCAATAGTTGACAAACTGCAAAGAACACAAATAACTTATCAATCAAAGGGGCCATATGACACAGCTGCACACTAGCATGGTAATATGGCATGAATGAGCCTTTTCTTAAACGATAATGACATAGATGAATCAAACTTTTAGCAAATGACATAAATGAGCCTTTTCTGAAAGTTTAATGCCATATTTGAGCCTTTTCTGAAAATTTAATGGCATATTTGAGCCTTTTCCAAGTATAAAAGTGGTGCGATGATTTTGAAGAAAATCAAATCGTCACGCCATGATTGAAATATCATTATAACGAACATAAGTTTTACCATAATATGTAAATATTTGGCAGAGTCGGTTTAACTTTGCATGCATTTTTTCGAAAGATTTTACAGGTAATCACGACATGTGGCGTTTAAGATAAGTATTGTATGCATGCTTGGCAATACTTGTCAAACCAACAATAAACTACTTAAGTGTGAAGTCATAGTGTAACTTTTGGGTCGTTTTGTTTGAAGATAAATTGTATTAATTGTTAGGATCGTAAATAATTAGGTGTTAGATGGAAGCTAGCAAAACAAACTTTGATAGATTATGAGTAAGAAAATAAATAAAAAATATACCATAAGATATAAAGATTTGACATGGTTCAGCCATCCGATCTACATTAACAAAGAAGATGAACAATCCACAATATATATAAATACGATAGTACAAAATATAGAGAGAATTAACTTCAACCAATTCACTCGGAATATTAGGAGGTTCACACAAGTGATAACGTATTATTTGTGTCCCACAAATTCTGTCCCCTAACCAAAACTCTCAAAATCCCTACATTATGAATGTTGATTAAGTTAGCAATAACAAACCTCTATTTATAAATTAGTCCTAAACATTTTCCTATAAGAAAAGGACTAGCTAATCCTAAACATTTTTCTAAAAGAAAAACATATTTATGGTAAGAAACTTGGGCAATTAATATCCAATATTAATTTGCTAATGTTGAGACTAATTGTTTTGAAATTAGTTATTCTGATATTATTTCTTAGTAAATGTTTGATTCGTTATACTAAAAATAATACTATATGCATTATAAACTTGTTAAGAATAAATTATTTGTTTATAATAATGTAAAAGTGGTATATTTATCATTTTAGGTGTTTTTATTTAGAAATAAGTTATTTCATAATTATTCTTATATATATTGGAGCAACTATATATTGCTCGTTGATTGATTCCCATTTCCCCAGCTACGGATTCCAAAGAGCAAATAACAAAAACTCCAGCATTTGTTGTGAATAATCTAAACTATTGAACGTTAATAGTTTGTTTATTTTTTTAACGTTAATTTTGTTCATAATTTATGTTTAGTCTTCATGAAAGAGAAGATGAGAAGAAGAAGAGTGCTCCTGTCCACGTTATTACAGCTAAATTAAGAATCTATTTTTAAATTTTTTAAAATTATATCATTTATCATCGATAACGAACATTTCAAGAAAATAAATGTTATACAGTACCCATAAAATTATGATGCAATAAATCTCTCGATTCCGAAAAAGAAAACTAAGAGCGAATCAAAACTATATCAATATATTATTATAAATATTATAAATATAAAGAGAAACTAGCTAGTATTTTATTTGAAAAAATAAAAATAACTTTATATCTAAATTTTAAACGATAAAGTGACTATTTTAAGTTTTTTTTTTAAATTTATTTCTTGCTAGCGTATTATGTGCATTATTCTTGAGAAGTGGCGCCTTGCAGATATTGTTTGGAACTTGAAAGATTTATAACGTATGATAAAATGTCTTTATTTACATGAAAAAGTGGAAGTGACCTAACTTTTTCGAAAAAAATATACTATGAAAATGTGAGGATTTAGTAATAATCAGGATCCCTTTAATGATTTTTTTAAATCATAAATTGTACTATCTTCTTTCGATATGAGTATATGAAATATTTAGTTCGATTAGCAACATACTGCAACGTATATTCTTAGTTAATGATCAGAGGGATTTAATATATTATGTTATAATAAATTTATAAATTTAGTCAATATAATAATGAGTAAGAGGGTCAAATAGACAAATAAAACAAAGTACAAGAGTTTTCCAAGTTAATTATTTCATCTTAATTTTATTTATGAATAGCTTAAATCTTATTAAACTATTAAACATGACATTACTTATATAGTACTTAGGCCTAATATAATACTTAATATATGCGCAGCTCATTTTAAATTAAATCTGCATATCAATAAAATAATATTAGTGGATAGGCTTTGCGGTTCCAGTAACAGACAGCCACACCAATTTCCAAGAAAAGAACGTACTTAATTTTTTATATTTATATCGAGTTTGATTAATTCAAATTTGAATTAAAAAATCTCATATTAGAAGGTAAAACTCTTTCCAACAACGACAATTTCATACTCAAAAAAATTCAAATCAAAAACTTTTTAATCTTAGTCAAAAATAAAAAAATACTTATCGTTCAACCAGAATTGTAACGATTGTACTCTTCTTTATTTCGGCACAAACGGAGTACTGCACTATGACAAATTTCTTGTGCTTGACAAGTGGACTTCATACATGACAAGTGGACTCTAATAGGTTTTCCCTATGGAGGAAGTAACAAATAACAAAGCCACAAAGGGGTATCCATTATCCTATCCAAATTAAAAATATTAAAGTTCGTTATTGTTTTTTTAGTAAGATTGTATATGTTACGAGTTACTTTACGGGATCATGCGAACATTTATCTCAATCTTACTAGATAGGTGAATTCTTATAGTTCATTCTAATTTTTTATCTGTATAAATTTTTCTCGACTTTTAAGGACTTAGTGTAGATATGTACAAGAGTTTTAATAGAGTACAAATAAAAAATACATAATACAATATCGACATAGCTTTTACTTGAGAACGAAAAAGGTAGATGTTAATGTTGAGTAACTGTTATCTCGCACTTTAAATAACCTGAAACAAATCTACACCAATAAAGGTGTAGGTAAAATAGTATCGATACATCATACGTACTGAATATGCATCACAAATAGACTTGAATTAGCTTCACGTAAAATATCACAAAAATCAACAAAAAATCACAAATTTATATTGAAAAAGAAATAATTAAAATTTAAAAGGATGAAAACTCTTATACCTTGATAATGTCCAAATTTACATTTGAAATCAACAAATAATGTCTGATATTTTAAAAATTAATTTTTATTTTTACTTAGTTTTTTAACATAAAAAAGAAAACAAATTATTGTTGTGTTATAAAGTACACAATTCAATCTTCTCATCTTATTAGTACTATTTGTTTACTACATTAACAAATACCCAATTTATTATCTGACATATTCTGTGAAACAGTATTTATTTTTTTTGGCATAAAAAAGTGCGTCTTTCTTGATTGGAAGCCGCTATTGATGAAAGAGCACTGTTGCAATATTTTCTTTTGGCTTTTACGGCCTTTTAAAAAAAAATTATCATCCGACTTTTTATTTAATATTCGATATTTGTATTTGAAAAGTAGAATTTCAATTGAAAGAAAGAAAAATTTATTAAGAATTTTTTTATACTCGAAATTTAAATTCAAAAAAGAACAATTCTATAACTGCACCACATTTCTTAATAATAGCTTTGATGATTTTCTGCTTAAAAAGATAAGCAATTCACGTATCTTCCTCCAAATTCACCTTAATTTAGTGGTTTAGATATTTAAATTCACCTTTATAGTTTCAAGACAAATTTTATGTAATATATTTTTATTTTTTTAAATTTATTTATCAAAAGTTCTAAATTCGAAAAGCTATATGTGATTTTGTTATGGCAATACATGTGGAAAATATAAGTGAATCGTGGGCTACTAAAAGCCACAAACATGAATTATTATTTAAATCGCAATTACCTCCTCATGTTTTGACCAAATACCATATGATTTTTCATCATATTGTTAGTGTGACGTATAAAGTACATAATAATCTTATGGATAAAACATAAAATTATTTTATATATTTTATATTTGGTTAAAGACATTGGACAGTTATAAAATTATTTATTTTATTATTTATATCTTATTTTATATATTAGTGAAATAATTTATTCAAAAATAATTAATTTGAAATAACTTATTTCCAACCAAATAACCTCTTTAAAACCTTAAGCCATAAACAGTGTAGTTCTGTGAAAGACGCATAAGTCATCTCCAATTCAACACTACTTATATCAAATTTTATTTTGATGTAAAATTTACTAATATTTTTGAACTTTAACCCAATACTATTTTAGTGTGTGAACGGTATCACACTATCAGACTAAATTTTATTATTATTTGTATTATATACTTTTGAGAATATAAATTTAAAAATATTAATAATATAATATTAAAAAATATATAAAAACACTTTTTTTAGTATAAAATTTGACATAGTGAAGGCGATCTACGCTAAAATAATGTTAATATTTTTTTAGTGTAAATATGATTGTTATGAATTGGAGATGTCTAGTCAAATGAACCGATAAGAAACATCTAAAAAAATAATAATTGAAAATACAAAGTGAAGTGTGAAAGTAGAAGTAAAGGGGCTTTTAGTATGCAGGCCCAAAATCTTCTTGAGCTGATTCTAAGCCCAACTTTGGAGCTAGATTCATAACAAAGTTTTTTTTTTTTTAAAAAAAAAAAACATAAAGAGTTGCATACATATAGTAAAATTGGACCATTATTAGTACAACATGAAGAGATGAATTGAATTAGACATAATTAGTTGTGGTATATATGGACAGAGTTTGTTACAATTCGAGTCTATATTCCAGTCGAGATATAGTATTTGAAACCACGAGTTATTTCAAGCTAATCCTTGGCATAAATATCAAAGCATAACATAAAGAAACTAAGCGGTAAATGAAATACATAACTGAATAATAGAGTTTAGAAAATTCACGAAACTATATTTCTACTGTCTGAAATAAGCCTTTGCTAGTTCAATTGAAAACATCAGTCTGTCGGGACATGACACCCAGCTACCTCAAAACCAAAGACAACATGAAGGAAAGTCTAGTGATCGAAATTAATGGAGTCCCTAAATGAGGAAGGCTCACCAAGTACTACCTTGAACGGTCCGTACCATTTGAATATGAATTTGGCCAGAAAGAACCGGAGCCTAGAGTTCAACTTAAGCACAAGATCTTCAAAACTGAATTCACTCTTTTCTATCTACCATCATGGTACGTCTTTTTAAACACCTTTTAATTTACCCAAATATTAAAAATTATTTTAACTTTAAACGGTTCAAATAAGTCAATCCAAACAAACTGTTATGCCTATTTAACATTATATTGTAATGTTGTGCAATCCAAACCGAGAAAGCTTCATAAAATTATTAAAACATGATTATTTGAACAATACCAAAGTTTGACATAATAATTATTTGTAGTTGTATGAGCAACAATGCCTAGTGGTGCTCAACATTAGATTCAGAAATTGTTGGTCCTTTGAGTAGTTCACCAAAAAGTTCTGTTGGATCATAGTATACCTCTACATCCTCTGCTCTTAGTGATTCATCAACCTGTCAACATTTAGAAACAACTTAGTTTGATTCATAAGTCAAATGTTCAAGATCAATTTTGTCGGTTTTTAAATTTTTTAAACCAAATAAAAAAATAATCGTCAGTTTGGTTTGGTTTGAATTTTTTGATATTTTCGGTTTGTAAGTAAAAGTTTGTTGATGGCATACACATCTCAATAGAGACAGACATCTAGTACATGAAAAATTCACAGGTCCCTATTTAATCTTCCGTTATTAAATATCAAATCGAAGGATAAGATTGTGCCACGTGTCCCTATTTAGTCTTTCATTATTAAATATCAAATCGAAGGATAAGATTGTGCCACGTGTCCCTATTTAGTCTTTCATTATTAAATATCAAATCGAAGGATAAGATTGTGCCACGTGTCCCTATTTAGTCTTTCATTATTAAATATCAAATCGAAGGATAAGATTGTGCCACGTGTCCCTATTTAGTCTTTCATTATTAAATATCAAATCGAAGGATAAGATTGTGCCACGTGTCCCTAATTAGTCTTTCGTTAGAGTGAAGGACATATATGCTCTAGTTTTTGGACGGCATGGACACTAATGTTCCAAAAGTATAACGAAGAGTATCTGTATACTATTTATGATAAATATATAAGAGGGATAGAGAGAGAGACCTTCAATATACCAAGGCCATAGAATTGGACCATCTGGCCAGTAGGGGCATGTCCTTTAAATGGACCTTCAAAGAAACCCCAATGCCTAAATTTGTATGTAACAACTGGTGGCCCTGTATATACATTGATCACTTCCCAAGCAAATCCTCTTGGAAAAGCTGATCTAAAAGCATTGTGAGATGATTCAAAGGTCTCTTTATCTGCTTTGTAATATTTGAATTCATCTGGCATTGAACTCTTCAATAGCGCATTGTAGCTTCCCACTTTTAATGTCTCTTCGGCTGACAATCCATCTCTTCCTGTCTCGTTACCAAAATAAAGTGAAATCGATATAAACTAAGAAAGAAAAATATTTTTGTAAAAAAATTAAAAATTTATTTGTGTGTTTAATATGTAAACCAAATACTATATTATTTTAAGAATGATTATATATATAGGGGAAAATGACAAATATACCCCGAACTATCGTAAATGGTATGCAAATACCATCCGTCATACTTTTGGGACATTGGTGCCCCTGTCGTTCAAAAACTAGAGCATATATGCCCTTTATACTAACGGACATACACGTGTCATAATCTTATCCACCGACCCAATATTTATTAAATATCGGATCGACGGATAAGATTGCGCCACATGTCTATATTTAGTCTTCTGTTAGAGTGAAGGGCATATATGCTCTAGTTTTTGAACGGTTGGGGTATCAATATCCTAAAAGTATGAAAGAGGGTATCTGCAATATGATTAAATATATATATGGTGATGTGAAGACATTTCATTTAGAATTTTTTTTTTTATCATATGCTTTAATGAAGAAATAATTATTTATATCTTAATTATTTGAAATATCAACTATTTAAAATCAGTTATTTTTAATAACTACGACTACTAAACTTAACCAAAAGAAGTAATTGTCAACAAAATAGAAACATGCAAAGTAGTATTGTCTTCAAGTACTATCAATCACTATCGAAGTGATCATTAAATGAATATCTTAATGGTTTTTAAGATATATATGAGTTTTGGATCGTTGAATTTTATCAAGAGCAAATAAGTAGGTACAACAAAAGAAAAAAATATTCTCTTAATGAAATATTTTATAAATATTTTTATTTTCTTGCTGAAATATTTTGTACATCGATCTTACCATTTACAAAGAGCTTGAATTTTTCAGGATTAATTGTCCTAAAGTCTTTTATGCGAGTCTTGTGTGAAAGTTCCATTTCCCATGATTTTATAGCATTTTGTACTGTTTCTTCAAGAGATCCTTCTGGCCAAACCTGATTTCATAATCATAAAACCAAACAAAACATATTGTATTTACAAGAAAGATGATAAGTATTAGTACTACTTTAATTATGTAGTATTGTTTGAATTTTAAGAGGTAAAGGATTATTTGACACAAGATGTAAAATAGTCTGAATGGACTATAAATCACAATACTTAACAATTCAAAATAATAATAAGACATCTAAATATTTATTTGACTTTCGAAATCTAAAAAGTATCACGAAAAGAATACATATATAAACCTTGGTCCTTCCTTGTTCAAAGAGCTTATTAACACTTTCATAGCTTGGAGGATCACCATGTCTCCACTGGATGGTTCCTGCAGCAGCAGCTTGATCTTCATGCAAGAATAGCCTATACTTATCACTTACAACTTTAATTGTTTCCTTCTCACCAGCCATATTTCAACTACTTCAAGTTTTAATACTTTTCTCTCTAAAAGTTTATGATTTTGTGAATTCCACTTTGTGTGGCAATGCCTTTTTATAGATGAAAGCATTAATGAAGTTTTTAGTTCAGGTTTGAAACTTGAAAAATATTAGATAGACTTATAATTAATAGATGTGATATAGTAAAATTATTATTTTTCCTGTTAAATGTGTCAAATCAAACACGAAAAAATAAGATGGACGGATGGAGCACCATACCAGTAAATAGGGGGAGGAAATATATGACAAATAATTGAATGAGAAGTTCTTGAGCGTTGATAATAAATTTTCAAACAGATTTTAATAATTTATCTTCAAATATATGTTATATCATGAAATTTGATTAGATTTTGAAAATCTTCAAAGATTTTCAAGTTCCTATCAGTTTTTAGCAGAAATTTCATTTCCTCATACGACTTCAATTTTATTTTTTATAAAAGTAAAATGCATCTCCAAACATAAATCTTTTTAATACATTATATTTATTTATGTGTCTTATCTATCAATATCAAAATAAATAATTGACAAACTTTATGATATTTATACTTACAAAAACATTTAATATTATGGGGAAAATGGAAAAAAAATAATTACTTATATCTTGATTTATAAATTAATAAATAAAATCGTATTATCTTTACAAATATTTTTTCAACGATTGAAAAATCATTATTTTTGTGGTAGAAAATAAAATTCTTTGACTACAAAAGAAATACAAAAAGAGAACCTTTGAAGTATGGAGTAGGGTTAAATGAAAATTAAATACATGATGGGGTCAAATTATAGTAAGTTGGCGTTTGCACGTCTCACTTGTCATCAAACTTTTATTGCAACATTTAAGAAATCTTAAAATTGTCAATAATGACAGAAAAGTAAAAGGATACTTACCTAACATACATAAAAAAGGGCCTACATGATGCCTACGATAAATGCATTCATATGAATTATGACACGTTGGGAGTAAATGAAGAAAAGCTTTGACATCTCTGATAACTCAGCATCAGCAAAAAAAAAATTACTTTTTACTGTCTCAATTTATGTGATAACATTGTTTAATAAGTATGGACTAAAATAAATTATAGATATTTATATGACTATAAATTATCTAATTAAACATACAATTTGTCATGTAAGCATGACAATGAAAGACCTTAACTATGCCTGCTAAAGAAGGCATTGTATGGTTTGAGACAAGCTGCTGGTGCATACACCTTATAATAGAAAAGGAGAATCTAGTTATAAACTTTATATGTAGATACAAATTTATCAACACCTGCTCCTACTAGTCTATGATACAACAAGATAAAAGTAAATCTTGTACACTGTTTTCCTAAACTTTTGGAGAAATCATATAAATGACATTACCAGAGAATTCTCATCCTTGAGTTCTATATTACATAAACAGACCACCAGAACGAGATCCAACTATTGGGTCAATTCCATGGCGGCTTTCATCAACAAGAGCTAAAGTTAACATTTCTGTGCAGAATTGATCATCCGGTTTGAACCACAACGCCTGTTTGGGAAATGGAACAACAGTCTCAATATTGATTTGTGCAAAACTCTTATGTAAACACTATCAGACCAAATAGCGTATTTACACATTTTGAATTGGAAACTCACCTTGTGATAGTATGTAATAGCTGCTGTGTAATTATTCTGCACAATTGCAACAACATATCAGAGCCAAGTTTGTAACTTCGGACACCATATACAATCAGAGAAATTTCTCTTTTTTTGGAGATTTATTACCTGGAGATGATAAGTGTATGCAAGACCAGCATAAGTACTTAGACTTCTTGTAGACAATGCAAGGGCTCTCTCATAATATGCGATTGCCTCATTGTACCTCCTGAAAGAAAGTTTTGCTTAATCTTACTTACAGCTAAAATGTTTACAAACTTACCTTCAAAGGTGAATCCGAGATTTAAATTGTTGGGTTTAGCCTTTAAAGTGCTTAACACTGAACTCATTCTACTTTTGAAATTATGGGTTCAAAGGGTAATATGCATTAAAATTTTGTTTATTGCATATATCTATCAATGTTCGGTATCAAAATATTGGGTTAAGCTGAACCAATTAATTCCCTACAGAATGACCATTGGCCATATAATCAATAACCTAAGGACTAAAAAGTTCTCTCAAGTGATTCAAAGCATCTTCCGTATATTAACTCCATTGCATGTTTTTTTTTTCAAAGAAAAGAAAGTACTAATCACACAGCTGGTAAAGCTGTTCTGCTTTCTCCAGCTGGTAAACTCATTAGCACATTAACCTAAACAAATATGTGATAAATCTTCTTAACATTTAAAGAACTTTTTGAAATACGAACCTCATCGAAGAATACTATGATAGCAAACCAGAGGACATGTAACCTCGTTATCTATGTTGTTTTTTGGATCTAATGAGAAGGAAAACAAATGGCCACCAAACTACAACTTGTACGTTACAAAACTAATATTAGCATAAGTCACTTACTTTAATTTTCTGAGGGCATGAGCAAGATTGATTACTGTTGATTCCCACATCTCACTTAAGGAAGATGGAATGTGAGACAATGTTTTCTCAAACCACCGCACTGCTTTCTTATACCTGACAGAGTTCGAAGAGAAAAATAAATAAAGTTTTGGTACAACGGATAAGATTATAACAAGAGAAAAATCATCAGAATTTTTCGTACTAAGGGGCAAGATACTCAAGTATAGTAGGTTGAACTAGACTTCAGAACAATATATCCATAACTTTCAAAATGTAAACTGTTTGAGATTAACACAGAAAATACATGTTTTATCACTTCTAGAGGATAAATGAGAGAAATGTTACGCAACTAAATCATAAATGTCGCAAATTCACAAGAGTAAAGACCCTTACTCCTTCATATGATAAGCAACAACTCCAAGTTCATTATATACAAGTGGATCTGAGGGGCATATTGACTTTGCCTGCATAAAAAACTGAAGGGAAACATTATCAGCGCTATTATTCGGGGGAACTCCAGACAATTGTCCGTAGACTTCAGGGTGAACAACCAGCACGAGCACGCATACTTTTGCAGACTCAGAGAAGAGAATATTTTTTCTCACAACCTAAGCATAACCAAGAGTTGAACATAGGAAACCACAGACAATGTATAATCACCTGCTCAGCCAGTTTAAAGCTATGAGTACGCATATATTCCATTCCAATGTACAAAGTAGGCAAATGGTACCTGGAAAAAAGAAAATTAAGGATTCAACCTGTCAAGGAAAATGTACACCCTTATAAGTTATAAGAGGGACTGCAAGATAGGAAGTTACTCTAGTGGGCCAAAGTACAAAAATTATCTCCATTACAAAAAATCCGCCTTTGTTTTGTGTTTGTTCCTTCTTTTTTCTGAGTTGAGTTGAGTTCAATTCATCTAAGAACTCAATCCTTCTTTTTGATTATTTGTGTCCCAATTCATACTTTGAGACTTTGTAATTGGTTGGTATTATGTTTTGGGACCTGTTGACATAGTTCAGGTTGAGACCCACAGGGCTCGGGGTCGTATCAGACAAATTTGCAGCTTGCCAGTGGCTGAAATCTGGTGACCAGATCTGGAGTGAGCCATGATTGCGAGGGGTACAGCGACATGATATTGTTGAGATATGTATGCATGATCTATTGTGACAGCTTGTCTGACATCCTACACTGCCATGTGGCTTGTAATAAACCTCATCTAGACGACTAGTCAACTATTAGTTTTAGGGACATTTTTCGGCCAAAAATAACGTTGAGGGCATTGTTGGTCCAGTAGGGGTGAGGAGGGCATGTTTTAGCCAAATTCAATAGGTTAGAGGAATTTTTTGGCCCTTTTTCGTTCAACTTAGTATAGATGAAAGAACTAGCACAAATAAAAGTTCAAGTCTATCAGAAAATTTGAAAATACTAGGTCTGTCACAGCTAGGAGAAGACAAAATTATCAAGCAAAAATAGGATTTACCCAGGAAACAATCTAGCAGCAGTGCGGTAAGCTGACATTGCCTGGTCTCCTTCTTCTTGAGCTGCATAAGCATTCCCATATCCAATCCAAGCTGAAGCAAATGTTCCATCTAAGCTTGTTGCCTTACTGCCAAATATAAAAAATCAGAATACAAAATAAGACCCTCAACAACTGAATGTGCATGAATTATTTGTAAGCTACCTTAGAATATCCAAAGAACCAGAAATATGAGATAGCACTTAGCTCTCAAAGCTTAAGCACTTACACGATTGCTAAGATTATCCATTTTATCAGGTAAAATTAAATTGATAAGAGTAATTCATTCAGGAAAACATATCATTTAATATCTTCAATGGAAGGACCAGTCTTCACTTCAGTGACGGAGCAGTAAAGTAGAAAATCACCACCCAAAGGATACATTTTATTTGACATGGGAAATCAGAGATCACAAAAATCTTAGAAGAATTTCATATGATCCAGTCAAACTTTCGGTAGAAATTTACTTTTAATATCACTACCCACCACTCAGATTCTTACGTAGACTTTTTTTTTGATGAGGTAATATGCTACTAAAGAAAAAGGAAAACTACCAAGATGGTACAGGATACAAAAGACTAGAACTATAGTAACATGTACCAGTAGTGTTGCATAAGACAAAGAGGGCAGAAAAACATATTCCATATTCCAAACCTTGAAGAGAATGTTTGGCCAGAAATATTGTCGTACAAAGAAGTTCCACGAGAGAGAAAGATGGGTAGAATTACAAACTCTCTTCTTCACGACATGATGACAAATATTTTTACCTAAAATAACGGCGTGCTTGGTCATATTTCTTGATACAATAGTAGTAGCAACCAACCGCAAACCATGACAGAGCCCTGAATAAACAACATGGTCTAGTGAGGCAATCATATAATAGTAGTTTTCACCACAAATAATGGACATAGAAAAGGAATAAAACTTATCATCAATCCAAACAAATTGACGCGCCATCTTTCCAAGTCCACCTTATGCTAATTTATCCACCAATAGGCTAGAGCCTATTCTTTTGAAATGATGCAAAACATAAATTCAATGCCACATCGCATACATTTAAGACTTTGAATTGTTATCTACTAAACTGACACCTACCT